TTTTGTTTTCGTTGTTTTTTTTGTCTATTTGGTGGTAACATTTTTATTGGACTAATAAATTATCGTGATTATTATCATTTGATAATCGATTCGCGGTTAATTATAATTCAATGGGAATAGTTAATCAATCATTTGTTTTGTTTTATTTTCATCGATAATTACAATATATTTCATGCGATACTATTTACAATTGTTACGTTTTCTATCCGATAGTTTGAATGGACAGTTTTCTTTTACTTATGTGACCCTTTTCGTTGTTTTATCCTTCGATTTTGGAACCAAACCTTCACCTGAGTATCTGATAGTCCAAGAGATTCACTTAGGTGGGCCCTTTGCTCACCCACCATGTATTGGGTGTGAGTGAATATCTTTTCCAATATTTCCAATTGTTGTTGAGTGAAAATTGTCCTTAACCTTTTGCTTTTCTTACTCGATGACATTGAGCTTTTCATGGTAATTTCATTGGATTTGTTGTGATTTTTTCCATCAATTGTTGTTTTCCTTTTGATTCCAAGTAAATCGTCAATGAAAAACGATGATTTTGTCACAGTTTGGGTCTTATTTGTAATGATTGATTTTTCCATTGGTAACATTTGATTGGTGGTAATTGTATTATCTTGAGAGTAATCAACTGGTAAATCACATAACTGATACAAATGTGACGAATCAAACGGTTCATAGTTAATGAAATGATGATTGTTAAATAAGTGATCCTGAATAACCATCGTATTAGTTGATTGTTTTACACACGAACAATAAAATGGACACTTGAGAAACTTTTAGCTGGATAAATGAATGGATCAACTTGTAGATCACTTTTGGAAAAAGTTTAAGGAATCAGAGAAGAAACTGATTAAACAACTAAAGTTTTCACAGAAATGGACCAACTTGTCGATAACTTTGACATAAACTAAATGAACCAAAGAAAGAGAAAGAGTGTCAACTTCTTTGGGTCCTCGGTGGGAGGGAGTAAAGGGTAGAGAGAGAGGTTTCGATTTGCTAGATGAGAGTGAACATCACAAAGAGAATACGTTTTTAGGGAGGAGTTTGTCATACTCACACTTATCTTCATCTTCTGCTTTTACTATAGAAAGAGAGAGAATCAGTGATGAGAAGGCGGAGAAATGAGAAGTTATTTCCTTCCATGATTTTGGAGTCTTTTGTGTGGAATATTTTTTATCGAAAAAACTTAATTAGAACTTCATGGATCTCGATTATCTTTTGCGATTAGTTAATATTTGAATAATTAAAGAACAGTTCGAGTGCCACAATAGTTGTAATCTAAAACAGGAATAATGATGTTGGATAAAGAAGCAGATTGAAATGACCAAGTTAACTTTGGAAATTTATTTACTTTATTGTCGATTGATTCGAAAAGGTTATAAATATTCACCTTCGCCTTCTGAAAAGATATTGACAATGAAACGATGAAATGAAAATTAATCCAATTAAATAATGATAATTGATTAATATTCACCAATTTAGTGTATTAATAGCTGTGTGAGTTAAATTATAATAACGATTTTTAATTGTTTCTTTAGGTAAATTGATTTATTCAGAAGCTTTTGTTGATAATTGGAGGTAATCAGTTGATCACTTATATTGAGACTTTGTTGTCTTTAGTGGTTATTATAGCGGTGATAATGATGATGATGATGATGATGATGATGGGGATGGAGATGGGGAGGATGAGGGTGAGGGTGAAGATGCTGATGATTGGGATGATTGGAGTAGTAAATATGGTGATGAATGTTATATGTTGTATGTGTGGTTTAGGTTTTGGTTTAAGATTGTGTCGTATTGTGTTGATATGTAGTGAATATGGTAATAAGGTAAGAGCCTTTTATGGGTCATTAAGTGGTCATTATGTGGTCATTTTGTTGGTTTTGTTTTGTCAAAATATTGGTAATGATGATGATGAAAATAATAATTATAACGACGTTAGAGAGATGAGTAGGAAAAGGATGAGGATGAGGATGATTAAGATGATGTATATGTATGTGTGTGGCTGTGTATGGTTGTGTGTATGATTTAAATGGTGAATAATGAGTGATCACCTTTGGTCAAGTTTTGTTGGTCAGGTTATCGGTCAAGTAAAACAATGATTTAAATGGTTAAATGGTTAAATTGTTTGGTAAACGTTGATGATTAATGTTATTATGGTTCCTATTGTGATGAATGTGATGAGTGTGTAGAGGTAAACATAAGATAATAGATGATAAAATATGAATGAGAATCGGAAATTATTATTAAATTGATTGTTTAATTGTTTTGAAAATCGATGATTGTATTACAATAATGATAATAATAGAAAAGCATTTACCTGCTTTTTGCTTTACTTTTTGTTTCTTTTATTTTAAAATCTCTTGGGTCATAATTTAGACAAAAGGTAATGACCATTAATATATGACTGTGACGATGATGAAGATGATGAAAATGAAGATGAAGATGACGAGGATGACGACGAGAATGAAGATGAGGATGATAATTGTGATAATGAATATGAAGATAATGAGGAGATTAGTAAAGGAGATTAACTAATGGAGATTAAGTATAAAGCTATTGTTGGATTACAGATGTTGGTGTAAAAATATTGCACCAGAAATAAAAGTGACCTTTATCATCAACGAAACCTAGGATGATGATTATGATGATGATGATGATGAAACATCAACAATATAACCATGACGATGGATAAGTTATCAAGTTAATTGTAACAATTAAATTAGAAACAGAGGAAATAGAAGGTTATAAGGATGAGAAAGAGCCCGAAGGCTAATTATATGATTACCTTTTTTTTAGATGGAAACTTTTTCTTTTACCTAATTAGGTTTTTCTTTGGGTGTTTATTGGCCTTTTACAGTTAATGGATAATAATAGTAAACGTAATAAAAGTAACGGTCATCTTATTATAGTAAAGTGTTTTTTTACCTTTTACTTTGTAAATAACTGGACACAATTGACCAATTCATCTAAAGAGAAACTCACACATCGATTGTTGATCATTTGCTCTCAAACTTCTAAACATGCGATTGATCAATGGATCAGATTGAACTTCTATTTCACATTTGTAATTCTTGATAATGTTAATAATAACTGACGAATTTTATCATGAAAAATCCTTTCATTAAATTAATGAAATGAATAATTGTTCTTTTGAATGAATCTCATTCATAGAGATAGATCACTGATTGTGCTTCTGATGTTCAAGACTAATGATGAAGTCAGGAAATGTTAATTTCCTGAAAATCTCTGATTACAGGCAAGTAATTACCTTTTTGTTGTATTGATTTCAAGGACAAGAATTGAATGGTTAGGAGTGAGACGTAAACCTTCCAATAATTAATAATTAATAATCAATTAAGGGCCTCGGACTTCAAACCTATTCAGTAATTAATATCTATGAATCAGTGACTTTTCAAGCTTTACTCTATTCAAAACTAGCAAAGACAAAATGATTAAACTCAGAATTCACCATTCACCTAAAAGTTTTATTGTGAAAATGAGGAGGAACCGTTATCCATAACACCCTTTAAAAACAAAGAAATTTAATTAACCATTAGAAATTTTTATTGTATTGAACAACTATCAATACTTTTTACAGTAAATGAGCAGCTCAGCTACTCTTAGTGGGGAAATTAATAGACACATAGAAATTTAACAATTGAATAGTTACACATATATTACAGGTAATAACTTCAAGCAAGTACCAAATTCAGAGGGTACTAGAATAATAATATTTTAATTAATTGATAAAATTAATAATTGAAAAAGGCTTTGAACCAGGGACCACGTGGAGAAATCAGTTTCAATTGAACTTGCATTTATTTTCTCTTTCTTAGTTTCTCATTAATATTGATTTCACTTTATACTGAATTTAGTAATTTATCGAAAACAAAATTAAATTATGTAAATCACAATAATTAAAAACAATTAGAATCGAAATTTATTGTTCAATCCTCCCCTAAGGACAAATGTTAAAGTAGATTGCTAACCAACCGATAGATGGAGTTAGTGTAAAGCGAATTTTTTGTTTTTGTTTCTAATTGAATTTAAGAGCATTTGAATTCATTGATTACAACTCGGAATTTCCGAGCATTTAATTGGATTTAATTGTTCAACTCTTTCAAATTTTCTCTGATTGTTTAGAGAGAATATATTTTGAAATGTTCCTTCGTTCTCTTTCAATATTCTTGGTTTTATTTTCTTTAACATTTGTTTGTTTTCATTTTCTTATATGATTTCTCAGGTTCCTTTTATATTTCTATTAACTAATCATTTTCATCTTTCTCTCTCTCTCTCTCCTTTTCTGATATTTAGCTTGTAAATACACGAAGGAAGAATGGTCACCCTGTGAAAATGGTGAAAAAACTCGACTTCTCACCCGAACCGAAGGAGATGATTCTGAATGTGAATGAACCAAAGTGAATAAGAAACTTCAACGAAAGACATTACTAAGATGTGTTCACTAGAATTTGACAAAAAGTTTGGGTCTTATTTTTGCTTCTTTCTGATTGTTTACAATTAATTAAATTATATAAATGAAAGTTCAGCTATTCATCTACATTCATGAATTTCAATTCTGATGAATTTTAAACAATTAAATTTTGAGTTCCAAATTGAATTTTATATCTCTATGATTAACATGGACAAGAAATGTTTGGTCAGAATTACATATAATATGCTTTCATAACATTTTATCATAATCTGAAAATCAAATGTGACTTAAAAGCCATTAATTGAAAATATAAAATTCTGATTTTCGATTTAAAATTTAATTGTTTAAACTCATCAGAATTTTTGAGATGAGATGAATAGCTGAACTTTCATTTATATAATTTAATTAATTGTCTCAGATTTTTGTAATTCTATTGAACTCTTAATTATCAGTATATCTACTAATCCTCAGCTATTATCCTGACTTTCCTACAACAATGTCCAGCTTAATCTCAAACATTTTCCATGAATTATAACACATAAAAGATATTTATCATGATAGATGAGATTATAGACATTGGATTTTATTAATTGTTGATTTTTCGGTAATATCTTAGTTGTATTGATTAGTTTTTCGGTTTTTACTTTATCCAAAGTTATGAGATGATGATGAGAATTAAGGTGAAAGATGAAGGTGGTATTGTTATTGTCGTGATCAATATGAAAGTCTCAGTGGTTGTGAGTAAAAAAGAGTAAATAAAGTGAGGATAAAGGATTCTGATGTTTTAGTGATGTTTTGATTATCGATTTCTATGTTTTCTATTAACGGGATCGAGCTTGTTGAGCACTTTCCTCAGCTACCAGAAGTTCATATTCTTCAGCAGCAAATCGATCCCAATCGGAAATTATATTGTCATCATTGTCTTTCGATGAAAACGGATCTCGCTGCTCGTGGTCAAGATACTTGTCCAAATTGAAAAATGTGTCAAAAAATACTGGAGTCATGCGACATCTTTTCAGGTCAGCCAAGGCAATTCGTCCTATTTCCTTAGGTCGAACCATATCCAGCATCTGAGAGGAAACAATTAGGTTAATCAATCTCAAATTGTGGATACAATTTTCTTATTTAAATTACCTGACAAAGACAATCATTAAATGGCAAAGCTTCAATTCCTAGAGCTTCCATACGTTTAACTTGCTCCTCATAAAAATACTCTAATTCGTACATGGACAAAAAACCATCACCATCAATGTCCATACATCGGAACCAATATTCAACTGCTCGAGGATGTTTCTTGTCTTCTTCCGAGATGAGAAACCAGACAAATTCAGCATAAGTCATTTTACCCTGTCTACGAACAGGGCCTCGAGTAACAGCACCGGAAAATATTCTGTCTATCATTCGAGATGAAATAGCTTTTGAAATAACAAGAATATCAAATTAGCCGAGATGAAGATCAGATAAACGTTAATATGATGTAAACTAAACTCTAACCAACCTGCATCATTATGTCTCATCAAATCTTCTTTGTCGATGATCAGATCATGATCCTTGTCGAGTTCCCAAAATTTACAATATATTACGTAGAAATGTTCATATGAGAAATAATCTGTAATCTGGTTGATATCATCTTCCTCTTCCAATAGAGAGACAACAAGAAGGAAATTGCTCTTCTTTAGTTCTGGAATTGTTATCCGTCCACTCCATGATTTGTTGACACAATAAAATATTCGAGCAATAACCTGTTGCGAAAAAAAATATCGAGGAAAATGTTCAGAGATGCGAAGTTTCTTAAGAATTTATAAGAATCATTCTTATGGTTTTTACCGTGTGAACATAACGAGAATGAAACTCAGTGGCTTCTTTCAAGAATCCTAATCCAGGGTGAGTCTCAATGACATCTTGCATCATGGCGATAAAATCTTCAGGTAAAAGATAACTTCGTTTACCCTGTGAATAAATCCTGACAAATTTGGAAGCATCATCATGGCAGCTTAACACAAGACTATTAAAAGGCAAAGAATAGAAATGATTACATGTTATTATATTCAGATTGAGAAATTGATTCATGTTACTTACTCCTTGAAGTATTTGACAAACTGATCACAAGTGATTATCGGATTACGAGCATCACCATTAGCCGCGTTAAATAGAGCCTGTTTCCAGTATAAGGGAAGTCCAGCCGCTTTGGTTATACGTCCGAAATTTTCTCGACTTGATGAACATTCAGGTAAACGATTAAACTCTTCAACGATCCTTCGTATTCGAGCATCAACTTCAATCGCAGAATAAGGTCGACCAGAGGGAAAGTAAAACTTTGGTATACTGTAGCTACTTCCCCATGAATTTCTTACACTATTTATTGATGGTCGACGGCTGATTGAGCTCACAGGTTGGATGAAATTCTGAGCAATTTGTGAAACATCACTCTGAAATTGGAAAGGTAAATTTTAGATAATCGCCCAAATCAAATCGTTTTTATTACGATTCAAATTCAACAATCAATGTGACAACCAGTTTCATTGAGAAACATATTCCTTGAATGTCTGATCACAATCTATTAATAATAATTATCATGATAAAAGCTTAAAATTATCTAGGAAATTATTTAACCTTTTAACATGATGACTTGAAAAAAAAAAGTTCTGCTTCCTTATATCATGTTTTTTTGTTCAGAATCAGAACAAGTGTTTAATTTTGTCAACCTAAGCAATAGTTTCATGAGCCTACGAATAATAAATTATGGAATCGAGCCAAGATTATCTGATCCTGTAAGTTATGAATCATGGTGATGAAGTTAGTTGGTAAATTGGCTGAATTAACTTTGAATATTTAGCTTTGGTTAGTATTCCTCAAGTTGAACAAGTGATTGGATAATTAATTGTCGGAGATTTACTTTGGGTTGAAAAAACTTTCAGCTCACCTGAGTTTTATCTTGATTTCGCCAAGTATTATAAAGAACGGGAGATTTTGATTTATTAGCTTCACTTAAAGATGATCTAGACTCTTTTTTCAGCTCAGGTCGCCTCTCGAAAAGTAAAACCCTCTCTGCCACCGATCCTTTGGTTAAAAATGGTCGAACTGGATTAGTGCGATGAATTGTAGTTGATGGTTTGGGTGATCCATTTAGTCCATTGGTATTACTTGGAGATGATGTTGGTTTAACTTCATTGGATTTCGTTGAATACCAGGGATTACTGAAAGCACTCGATCCTCGAACGTAGATCGGTTTGTCGCTACTTTGCTTGGAAGCTTTTTGTTCCCAAGCTTGTTTAGCTTCATTGACCATTGATTGTCGGCAATTGGAACCATTTAAATTATCGAGATCACTTGTGTTTTCATTTGCTTCTTTCGAGGCTGCAAATCTACTTTTAGCGTAATTAACGGGAGACGAAAACAACGAATCCTTGAAACGTCCATCGTCTTCCTTTTCTTTTTTCCCTTCTTTTGGTGTTTTCATCTCTGAACATTTCGTCCCCTCTGAATTGAGTGAATTTGATTGAGATGATTTTCCATCAATGGTCAATAATGATGAACTCGAATCTTTCAATATTGGACTGCCTTTAGATTCTTCTGCTCTTTGTTTAGCTAATTTAGTGGCTAATGAATTTTCTCGTGTCGCAACTAAGGTCGCTGTTTCGTCTTCCGTTAATTTCAATGCATCGGCTAAAATTTGTTCCATACTTTTTGTCTCTCGTGTTGGTGTTTTTGAGATCACCTTTTGATTATTAGGGGCTATTGTTGTTCCCCTTGTGCTAGATGGCGATGAGTTAATTGTCATCTCTTTACTTGTATTGTTTTGATTGTGTGTCAATGATGAAGGTGAACTTGTTCGTCCTGTTGATTGAGATACTTTGGACCCAATTAATTTTTGCGTTGATTTCGATTGATCTTTTACATCGCTATTACTTATTACAGGTAACTTTGGAACCCGTTCAGGACTTCTACTTGCCGATCTTAAAGTTGACCCATCCTTACCATGGATACTTGATCTAGACAAACGACCCCCAGATTCTGATGGACCTTTACTTGGGCCATTTGACCTAGTTGAAGAGGAAAGATCACTTTTAGAACCTAAAGATGATGATGATAATCTTGATGAACTTGTAGATTTTTTCTTATCCGGTAGTAAGCCCGATTTTTCCGCTATTAATTGGATGTATCTCGATTTAGGAGACCAATCAGTTAAGCCGGAAAGTAGTCTTTCAACTTCAGCGGACAATCTTAAATCTTCTTGACTTCGAGCTTGTTTCAATTTACTTCCGGGTCCTGAGTAATGACCACCAAGTGAAGATGATGATGACAATGGGCTACCTGTTAATCTTCCTCTTCCACCTTGGACAAAATCTTTTCCATAGCCGGTTGATGAATTTGTTTTGATTCCCATTGAAGATCCAGCAGATTCTGTGTTTCTAATTTTAACTTTATCAGCTTCCGGGACCAGACTGATGTTTGTTGAGCTGTTGTTGGCTGTTGATCTTGTATGATTCTCATTTTTGTTGGCAATCTTTCGGTTACCCTGTTTACTTGTATTGGTCGTGGTGGTATTTGAGCCAAGAGTCGAGACACTGGAGGGTGACTTTTTACTTGTAGCTGAAGATGATGTGGAAAGAGTTGATGATGAGCTGGTTGTTGGTGATGATGGTGAATAAATATTTTGAGATGATGATGAAGATCTTTGTAAGGATGGCGATGTTTGAGATAATTGTGATAGCGATGACGATGATGATTGTGACGATGAAGGTGATGGCGATCTCTGTACAATGAAACTTGATGCTCGTCCTGTTGCCGAAGATAAAGATCTTCCCTGATTAGTTGATTGTCTTTGATTCGATTGATTGGAAGATTGGACTGTTCGATAATTTGTTCTTTCCTGTGGTGATCCACCTCCACCAGGATCGAAGGCATTTAAATTAGTCAATGATGCACTTCGTTTATTGAGCAAATTCAATCGAGCCTCTTGACGAAGCTTATCCTCAGTTACAAAGGTTTTCAAGAGAGATTCTAATTTCTCTTCAACATCTTCAGCTAAAAGCTGAATTGCTGCACAATCAGATAGATTGGGTGAATTAATTGTCGCTGGTGGATTTTCACTTTCAATAGATCCTCTAGTACTTCCTCCTCTTCCTCCTCCTCTAGTGTCATTTCGTTGGATTACACTTTCAGGTCCAGTCCTATGGTCAACATTATGTCCAAGGACCTTTTTGATTGGCTTAAGAGTTTTGTTCGCCGTGATGATCTGACTTGCTGACGATTAAATTTAATTGTTCAAATCACATTTAGGTTAATAGAAAGATGATAATAAAAGGTATCCTAAAGGTGAAAACAACAATCAACACATTAGAAATAATTTAAACACAGGTAATTATCTTAAGATTATATTGATTGTTAGGGTGGGAGAGTTGAAAAATGTTAATCAATAGCCAATGTGTACACTGATAATTAAAAATTAAAACACAAGCAATTTGAATTAAACATAGAAACACATAGAGATGATGTAAAAACCGTTATAAACCTTGACTATCATCCAAAAGTTACTCAAATTATGATGATGTTGTTATGGTGGTGAAGAAGATGAAGATAAAGATGATACAACTAAACGAAATTTTTTCTAATCAGCTAATTGACAAAGTTCACAATTAAAATTACACAACAAAAAAAAACACCAATGATATGTAACCATTTAAATGTTAACTGGAAAAAAAAATCAAACTCAATTTGATCAGCTCAAGTTTTCATTGACATAAACACAATGAAACAAATCACAATCAGTTTAACCAAAGGTTTTGTTAATTGTTGAGGGTGTAAAAGGTTTACAATTACATTTCAACAGGGGTTAAGTGTTATTTACATTGGTGAGATACATGAAACATGAACATTAATTAGACAGAACAATCGATATCGAATTAGTTAATTAGAGGGAGAGAGAGAGAGAGAGAGGAACAGGTTAATCAATTCATAATAAGGAAGAGGGAAATTGATGAATAAAGAAATTACGAGTTTTCATATTTTGATTGTGGGGAAAATTTAATTGAATCGGATTAGACTTACATGGAAACTAGTGTATTGCAATGAATCAATTTGATTGTCAGTTGAATGAATGGATAATCAACACTGGTTAAGATTTGAGATCAAGTTATTTGTGTATTGGATTAAAGGTGAACTTTTTTGGTGTTTTTGTTTCTTCAGGTTAACTGAATTTTCATCGTAGAGTCGAGTGATTTAGCCTGAGGGAAAGAGGCTCAACATGTGGTTGGGAAAGAGAGGGTAATTGTTTAGGGTCGAATCAAAGGTCCAAATAAAGAATGAGAAGGAAAACTGAGCAAAGAAAAAGATAGAAATTCATAAGATGAAGACAGAAAGTTAGATGAAAATTAGATTACACCTCGTGCGTTAAAAATACTTTCACTAAACGATTTTTTCGTTTCCACCACCGGATTTTTTTATCACCGCAGAATCATCATCATCATCGTGAGCAAAATTATATATTATTCTCATACTCAAAGATGATAATCCGAAAATAGTATCAAGATGAAGATGATAACTTCCTAGTTCAATAATATGTTACAATACTTGTAGGTTACTAAGTTTACTAATCAATTCAATGAACAACAATCAGCGATGATTCAACTTTTCTCAACTTTGGCAAGATTATTTCAATTTAGATTATGAAATTAAATACAAATGAAAAACGAAAAATTGATTCGAATCAGTAAAACTTATGAAACTAATAAGTTTCGACTTTAATTCTCGAATTAAGATGATCAAAATCTCAATAAATACGTGCCCATGAGCTATTGTTATATGAATTCTGAATTACCGTTCATGAGAAATTCAGGTTAAAAGAAATGGAGAGGTGATAAGTGAAAGTTCAATATCCAGAAACAAAAAGAGATAAAGAGCTGTTAATTAGGAAAGGACAGCTAAATCAAGACAAAATCGAATTAGTCGAGCTTAATCAACAATTAATTAAACTTGCCAAAGATGATTAAGTTAATGATGATAAAGATGATGAGGATGAGCAAGATAATTGGGAGTAAAGGTTGAAAATTAAATTCTAATTTGTTATTTTTTTAACAATTTCTTAACGATTTGATGATAATAATAATAGTCGTAACTGTTGATTATCGTTGATTGTCACAATTTGATTGTAATTATTAATATTTACTATAAATTGAGTTGAGATCAATATTTCATATCTTTATTTTGAAATTGATCGGTAAAATCTGAGTTTATGGTAGCTGATTAACCCGCCCAGGGTTAATCAGCTAATTAAAACACTATTCCTACGAAATTAACTAATTATTCAATTAATTGCTTTGTTTTAATTAGGTTAGGTCTCAATATTAAGGGCCACCTTTGATTAGGAAAGGCCCAGAGAGCCAAAGACAATCAAATTGTTGCTCTCACTTGCTTAGTCAATCAATAATTTTAATGGAATAAGTCTGACAATTTGTTAATTGATCAGCCCACTACTTTAAACTAAGATGTTACCAATTAATCAACTAGAAACTTAGTATTTCAATAATAATTAAAGTAGTAACTATACGAAGTTTTTAATTGTCGTTCCATTATTATTATTATCCGATGATAATACAAATACAATGTAATAATGGTTTGGTGACAATTAACACCTTAAGTTGTAATTATCCAGCATCCAATTGAATTGATTCCATTCAGCAAACAAACAAAAATTAAACTAATTCAATCAATCGAGCAATCAAATTTAATTGAAAACAATCACTGAAGTTCTGATGATCAACCGTTGTTACAACAACAATAACAACTGTTGACTCGAGTCTTTTACTGAGAGAGAGAGAGAGAGAGAGAGAGAGAGAGAGAGAGATTGTCTCTTTTTCTCTCTGTCTTATCATCATCTTGGTCTTTCTCTGTTTTTTTTTCACTTCTCTGTCGACTTTTGAACTTATACGAACAAGAATGTGGTCCATTTTTGGCCAACTTCGAGAGACCTTAAAATATATGCCAACTAAGAGTGGGTGCGACTTAGAAGCCTCTTCTTACTTTCTTTCGAACTTTTTTGTTTCTTTTCCTCTTTCTTTCATCATCCTCAGTTCTTGGCTTGTAAATAGAGAGGAAGGAACAATTTGAACAAGATATAAACTTTTTTTCCCTCTCATTTTCTGATTGATAAAAATTTGACAAAACAATTAATCGACACCTTTAACAATTAAGTGTTAAAAGCAGCAAGTTACACTCACTTTCAGATTGTTCTTTAGTCATTCTCTGGATTTCTTTTAATTGTTTACTTTCATTTCATTTCATCTCATTCATTTTGAGAAACTAAACTAAATTATTATTAAATTAAAAATTTATCAGGAGTGAAAAAAGTTAAACATAAAAAAACGAATCAGTGAGAATAGTTTATTGATAAACTGATAGATGGCATTAGTGGCCTAAAGAAAATTTAATTGTTAATTGTTTCTCTTTTAGTGTATAGTATTTAGTTTGATTAAAGTTGAAATTGGTGCCAATTGTTTGTGACAACGATGAAAATCAGGTCCAAAGATAGTTAACTCAAGAAAACAAAATGGTTGAGGTTATTACGACGTAATAATAGCTCAGTTTTAAGAGTAACAAAAAACAACTAAAAAACTGTTGAACTATCATAATTTTGGTCTCAACTTGGTCCATGTGATAAGATGAACAATAATAATCCAAATTTTAATTTTGAACTCACAGGTAAAGTTAATTAAATTAAAACTTATTAGGAGCGAAGAAAGTTAATCTTTTATCTTAAAATAGATCGAAAACCAACCGATAGATGGAGTTAGTGTACAGCGAAATTTTGTTTTTGTTTACAAAAAATTTGATTGATTTGAAAAACTGATCTGATAAATTTTAAGTTAATTAAATTTACCTGTGAATTTAAAAGTTGATTTTGTTTTATTATTGTTTGGCTAATCACAGGGATCAGGTTGATACCTAGATTGCAACATTTCAACCGACATTTATATTGTTCCAGACAATCTTAGGACTGGGCCGTTAGTGAATTACAACCATGTGTTTTCTTGGTAAGATTTTGTTAATAATTATAAAAATTTAATTTCTAATTTTTCTTTTATTTTTATTTTTTTTTAATTTTGTGTCATACCTAATGAGCCAACCAATTTTGGACCTTTGGACAATCGCCACGATTTTGAAAAGGACTCTGGTCCGAGGAAAATATTTTAAGGAGAACATTTTTTGAGGAGAACATTTTCCCTTTATTGGGATTAGGCGAACAGGACTTTGGTCCATTTACTTGTGATTTAATCTGTCAATTAATATGTAATTCGACCTCAGGGGAGAAAATTTGTTATTTACTTTATTATTTTCTTTTCTTTTCTTCGTCCCTAATTCCCTTACTTGTCCCTTATTCCCTTCCCTTGTACGGTCGTTATACCGGAAACGATGAATTTTAATTCATCGAAGCCTCCCCTGAGGTCGCTGTTAAAGCTTAAAATAAAAATTACAATTGAATTTAAGATCATTTTAATTAATTGATTTCGAGAATTTAATTGGATTTAATTGTTCAATTCTTTCAAATTTTCTCTGATTGTTTAGAGAGAATATCTTTTTGAAATGTTTCTTCGTCCTCTTTGAATATTCTTGGTTTTATTTTCTTCTACATTTGTTTGTTTTAATTCTTGTTCTTTTTCTCTTTTTTTTTCTTCCATTTTTTAAATCATCCCTGTGATTAATTGATTCAGTGTGAAGAAATATCTGCAATTCAATTTATCTCTTTTCTATTTGACTCTCTCACTCTCTCTCTCTTTCTTTCTTTATCAATCGTTCTCTTCTCACCGAACATTTGAATTACTACAATTTCGTGTGAATATTCGGGTTCATTGCGCATTAGAGATTTTCTCCCATTTTCTCTTTGGAGAAAAAAAAAACTTCTCTTATACATTTTATTCCCTTTTATTCTCTTTCTTTTTCTCACCAAGTCTCTTTCTCTCTTTTTCTCTCTTCCAATCATCTTCATCATCATCCTCTTTTTCTTTAAGACTCTTTTGTCCAACTGTTTTTCTCTCACCAGTTATCATTTGGTGTTTTCTCTTCTTCTCCTCTTTGTGATCCATCAGCAATTCATCACTTTTTTGCTCTCTTCTTAAAAGATCAACATCTTCATCTAGAATCTTCAACGATTTCAACTTTTTACTCATCAAAATGTCTCCCAAATTAATGTATTTCAATAGTTTCATCTTTATTCTTGTCATACTGATCGCTTTCGTGGCCTGTGAGAGTCCATCAGACAGACCCCAGAAGACAAATGTCAAGCAGTCATGTAATATATTTATCTTCATAAATATTGTTAAATTAATCAAAATTTAGAAACTTCAATCCTAAATCTGATTCTCTGCTTAGTGGTCACTTTTTTACTTTTTCTTATGGTCGCCATTTTTAACTCTAATTCTTTTGTTTCCCGAGACTAATTTTCAATTCTTTTCTTTCTCCATAATCAGCTTGCCGTTACAACAAAGGACCATGGTCAGAATGTGCCAATGGACAGAAAACCCGAACTGATACTTTAAGAGTCCCAACTTCAACTCCAAACTGTGAACCAACCCGAATAACAACCAAGAAATGTAAACCAGGTAGGAAAAAAGATTCTCAATTTTTAGTTTCCAATCCAAATCTCTTTTCCATCATCACCACCATTTCCAAGATAAATCCAGTTCCCTGATTTTGAAATATTAATAGTTTCAAATCTCTTAGTTATACAATTTGTGATGATTAGAATCGAGTAACAAAAAAAACATTGATTGATTCTCATGACAAGAAAATTTCATTTCAACTCTTGTTTACTAAGGAAAAACAAATCACATGATTTAGTTTGTCTTTAGCTTCAGGGATTATATAAAAGGGATCAGATCTTATTTCACCCAATTGAACCTTGAGAAAATGAATTAATATCTCAGAATGAGAATTGAGAAAAACATAAATTATATAATTAGAATAGAATCTCTTGTTCTCAAGTCAAGTTAACAGAAACACGAAGAAGATGCTAATTATTATATAAACATTATCGTTTTCTTTTTATCTGTTTTTCTGTTTGAGAACCGGAAAAACAGAATTACACTTGATTTCTTCATTTTATCTTTATCTTCATCCTTGAAAATGATAATTAATATTTATCCATCTTAATTGATGAATTACTTTTCTTTATTTGTATAATCTTGTTCATTTTTTCATCTTTCTCATCTTCAAAATTAACTACTCGGAACAATCAAAGTCTAATAGTAATTTATTATTTCTCAATCTCATTGGAAATTTGCTAATCTTCAATTCATGGTAACTGAACATTTTCAGGGTAGAAAAGTTTTTTCTTGTTCCTAATTGTTGAATCCTCTTAAATCTAACCTCTACAATTGAATTAACCTTGTTATATTTGTATTATGTTTCTCTTGCGATAATATAATTGGTAAATCTTATTTTCTCCTCTCTTAATTATATTTCATGGTTATTTATTTTTGATTAAGAAAATTTAATTCTAGAAACATGATACATATTAAGGATGAACAACAGATTAATTGGTGAAGTCCTATGACAACTCTAATATTTATCAATTTAATCAATATAATCTTGTTATTTATTATTAATTATCTAAGAATCTATTATTAGCTCCAATTAAGGACTTTCATGTACACAGACACACAAATAGTGAATCAGATTTAATTTAATTCCCGAGTTCAATTCTTATATGATTTCTCAGGTTCCTTTTATATTTCTATTAACTAATCATTCTCATCTTTCTCTCTCTCTCTCTCTCTCCTTTTCTGATATTTAGCTTGTAAATACACGAAGGAAGAATGGTCACCCTGTGAAAATGGTGAAAAAACTCGACTTCTCACCCGAACCGAGGGAGATGGTCCTGAATGTGAACGAACCAAAGTGATTAAGAAACAATGTCCAAAAAAGGGAGGCCCTAAACCACCAAAAGCCAAGAAACCATCAACAGCAACATACGACAAGGAAGCTTAATCAATGAAAGAACAGAAAGAGATTTAAAGTCTCCTCAACAACAATTAAAACTCAATTAATCTTCTTAATCAATCAACTCATTGAACATTTTCTCTCTTCAACGAAAGACAAAAATTTTCTTTTTCTCTTCTCTATTTCTTACAATTATGAAAGTGAAATTAATATAAATCAACGACAAAGAAAAAGCAAAAAAAAATCATTACTGATTATTAACCTTTTAGTAAATATAATCTTAATACTAATCCTAATATTATTACTACTCAAACTAATCATCTTCCTCTCTGATCATCTCTAAATTTCTGACTACCCAAAGTTCAGCTATTATCCTGATTTTTCCTCCAATAATGTCCATTATTATCCCGATGAGTTTGTATCATTATCGTGGTGTAATTTTGTCAAATGGATCAGCTAACAGGCAATCAAATCAAATGACAATTTGATTGACTAAAACAACAAAAAACTTTGAACTGACGAAGATGTAAAGTAAATTATCATTTCCAGTTCAGAATTCATCTTTTCCCTTCTTGTTTGTTCAGCTTAATCTCAAACATTTTCCATGAATCTGATCAAAATTCAGGTTAACAACATGAAATTTCAATTCTATCAGAAAACTTTACTCTTCGAATCAACAAAAATGAACTCATTGGAAACGATCACAAATCAAAGCAAAAAGAAAGCAAATCAAAGGACCAGAGGTTTTCATCATCAGGAAACATCATGAAGCCGAAAATTGAAGCTCAGGAAATCATGAACATTGAACAATTTTACCAAAAAAACAAATTCTTATCCATCAATCTAACCACTTTTTTCATCTTCTTACTCCCTGATGACAATTTATCTTCTCTTTCTTTTTTTGTATTATGTATTAATCTTACATCAACTATTATAAAAAAAAATCAAATCGAAAACCTAAATCTTGAAAGGTTTTTTTAACGATACAATTAACACGATAATCAATAAATTGGTTTAGGAATAACAACAATTAAAAGCTCTATGATTATTGAATAATTTTGAGTCCAATCAACTGATTGGTGAGAAGAAAAAAGTTTGATTAACTTATTTAACCTTTTCTGTTGGTTCATTGTAATTGGAATCAGCTAACTAATGTTTAATTTAATTTCCTCTTAATCTTAATTCATCTTAATTTATCATCTTTAATCAATATGATTATCGGTTCAATGAACTTATCAAACTCTTGAAGTTTTTTTTCCTTTTAATCATCTCTTTGATGTTTACAATTGATTTGATTGAATTTACTAGTTAATTGTCAACAATTAGTGTTTCAATCAACATCCAATTCAAGTGATTTCGCCAATTGGATTAATTTTAATCTCGTCATTTTGTCACATTATTAATCCTTTGTGGATATAGTTACTTTTTTTCTCGATGGCAATTAATAGATTTGATTAAATGTAATTCATAATAATTTAGATTTTTTAAATCATTTCAAAGTAATTGTTCATTGTTGGATTTTGATTGAAATTGATTTGGTTAAATTTTTGATTGAGAAGCAAAAAAAAGTATCAATCTAATTGTTTTGTTTTAGTGCGTACGGATTGGTTGAAATAGTGGAAGAAATTAGTTAAATTATGTTAAATAATCAACGAGAAATGATTGAAAGTTGTAAAATGAATCAAAATTAAATGATGAATTAAATTAAAGATAAATTTTCTCCGGGTGATTAAATCCATTGGCGATCGCAGTTTCATATGATGGCGGAGGAGATGGTTGATTAGTGTAATTGTTTCCAATTTCTAAATCACTGGGACCATAATAGGGACCATCAGTTTCAGGATTAAGCTATTAATCAATAAGATGAAGGTAAACAATTAGTGTATTTGATTGTTGTAATTAGAAAAGAAGATGAAAAGTTATAATTACCGCAGCGAGAATAGTTTGTCGGGTTAGATAATCGATCAAAGTTTTCTTCCGGATGTGAATTAATGTTTTCAGTGCGACCATTAGACCACAGCAAAGGAAAAAAGGTCCAATGAACCAGAATCGTGCAAAAGCGCTGGTCAGTGAGTGACTTTCCTCGATGGAGAGTAAAGTTATCAACGAACCAGCGGCGAACAGAGTTAAAGCCAAGCAAAGGTAAGCGTAAGAAATTGTATCACAAGGTGATATTGGTACACCGATTGAAATGGTTTCCATGGTTGGTGTATTTCGAGAGGACATTTTCCGTTTCCGATGAATACGATAATGATATAAATATATCGTTCTTATGTATATATAAATGTGTTCGTGTATGAAGATAAATAATTTAACAGCAATCAACAAGATTAATAACAATGGAATGATTGAAATATATATTATATTCAGGCGATTCAAATACCATTTGAATTATGGTTGTGATAATTGTTGTTAATGTGTTTCAATTGTTGTTGTTTTAAGAGATGATCATGTTTATCTTGAGATAGATTATTATTATTAATCAGATGAGAGAAGATGAAATCAGCTGATTGATTTGATTCTTGTGACGAAGTTAATGATCTCTGGTCCATTGTGATGTTCAAAGAGTTAAGGTTTACCTGTAAAGGAATAGGATATTGAGAAAATTTTCTGTTAGAATTTGTAAATTGTTGAAGGAATAGAATCAAATTTAACCATAATTAGTCTGGTGAGTGCGAGGATTGGGTAATTAAGGATTTTAAGGATTTCTCTTTAGGTGGAGCGTTTGGATCTTTCTCATGTGTTATTTTCCATTGGAAATTAACTAGGTCAGTCTTTTTGGATCAAAGGTAAAAGGTGAGGAGATTATGGTGACAATTATCCCTGGAAATTGAAAAGATTTGTTAATTTTAGTTCAATTTACGAGAGAAAACTAATCATCCAAATTGGAAGAAACTAAAAATTGATTTTAAAAAAATTGGAAGATTTTGAAAGTTAAATGGTGAAATTTATATTCGCAATTTATACAATTAAAGGGTAATAACTAACATCCTTCAAGGAGAGGATTAAATCAGAAAGGTTAATTAAACGCAATTCTCACCTTGTAATTCAAATCGATCTCCATTAATTGTTAACATAAAATGAAAACACTTCAATTAATTAACCTTTTTTTTTCACCTGAAGAAAATGTTAACGATGAACCAACGAAACTGATAAAGATGAAAAGATGAGATAAAATGAAGATAAATTTAACCAATTAGAATGTTGAATGATGTAAATTAATCAATAATTAAGAATAAATTAGAAAATAACAAAAGGAAACATGAAAAAGTAATTAGAGTCAATTGGTAAACAACATTTTCTTTGTCTCATTAACCTTATAAGAGAAAGAGGTAAACAAAAAATGCGACAGAGAAAAAGACAGAGAAAATGTTAGAATTTGTTTTTTCCCAAAAAAATTCTGGTTCCATTTCTTATGTTTACGCATCTTCATGTTTACCCTGAATTCTGAGTCTACTCAACCAGAATTTTATTATTCACCAATTGAACCATGTATCAGTTACTAGTTAAGAATTTATCTTCCTTTTAGATGAGAGAAAATAAAAGAAAGAAAAGAAAGTGAAATCTCAAATAATCTCTACGAAGTAAACAAAAAAAATTCTTTTCTTTTGTTTCTATATTTTTGTTTGTTCTTTTCTCTACTAAATCATCATCTCTGATTATTAATCATTTGGAATGTTTAATTACTGTTCTTCTTGGTGTTAACTTATCTGTGGATAAATTAGATTGCCACAATTAAATAGTTAATTGTTGATTCTCATCATGGGTCCAACTACAATCCATAGTCAACCAGAAAGTTACCATTCCAGTAAGGTGAGTATATGGAGTTAGTGTTTAGTTTTAATTCCAATGTTAATTGTTGATTGAATTGTTGTTAATTATAGTTTTTTTTGTTCTATTTCTATGGTTGTATTGGCATTGATTTGGATTAGGTGATTGGATTCAAGGGATTGGAGGCATTGGCTCTTGTTGTGATTATTGGTGTTCTGTTGATCATTTCGGCCCTGACCAGTTTTACTAATTTAATGATCATCTATAAATTACGATTGTTTCCCAATAGTGAGATGATTGCTTTTAGTGATGATGGTCATGTTATCTTTAATCATCAGGCTTATCTGAATCGTATCAATTTATATAAAAATGTAATCAACGGAGTTTCCAAGATAAAAGGAGATGTATCACTTGAAGCGGGACCAGATTCTTATTTACATCTTAATTCTGATGGTTTGGAAATTGGTTCACCGGAGGGTTTTCAGGTTTATTCAAGGAAAACGGATAAACTTTTATTTCCACCTGATTTTTCACAATTATCTTTACCTTCAGTTTCATCGATTTCAATTAAAGGAGGAATACGAAATGTTCACAAAATAAGATCACCAACTAATGATGATTTAACCATTTCATCTGATGAATCGATTAGTATTTCTGGTAATGAAGGTGTTAATGTGCAATCTAAAGCAATCAATTTATCTGCTTCTTCAATTAGTCTTTCAAGTTTAAATGGTTCAATTGTATTTGATGGTGAACAAGGTATTACAATTAATCCAAATCGTATGATTATCTCACATGGTGGAGGATCAATCAGCAGTGATGGAGAGGAAACTTTACAATATAAATTGTGTGTTTGTGGTAAAACTGGACGATTGTTTAGAATCAAAATTAAATCATCGGATCAAGGATGTGCTGATGTCCGATTTCCAGAATCAGGTAATCCTTGTATATAATTAAGGTTCTTAAATTGTTTCCATTTACAATCATCATTTTAGGTCAATTTCATCATTTCGATTATCCTAAATCTCATATCAATTCAAAATTTTCATTAATAACTTGAGGTGCTAATAATTAACTAAGTTTGATTATCACCAATCAGAATCAAAACAGAATCAAATTGTAACCAACAACCTTAAATTATATCAGATTTTTTTTTTGTATATTGTATATAATTAAAACAATTAATTGTAACAGTTTGTTTCTAATTTAATTGACTTTGATAAACAAAACAATTTAGGTTACAGTTTGATAATCATTTGGGTTTGTCAAGGTGTTTATAAGTTAAACTGTTGGTGATGATTAAATATGAATAGATTATCATTAATGATGATTACAGTGTATTGTTAAGAAATTGATTATGATTTAACTAATGATTATATAATTAAATGATACTAATTAATCTTACCAAAATCACTGGTAGTCTCTTTTTCCTAAATGAGTATAAATTGTGACAACAATTTGAGGGAAGAAAATTATTGCACAATTTAAATTGATTAATAAGGAGATGGAAAGTTGTAATTTCATTTAACCAAGAATATAAGGCAAATTAGTGATGAGATTAATGATAAAGGTGAAAAATTGATCATTATAAACAATTAAATTAATTATTTATAATCCTTTAACTTTGAAAAGTTCAGGTTCTTGTGCATAAAATTGAAGATAATGATAGTAGAGTGTAAATCCAATGAAATGGAGGCAACTGTAGATCGAATTGAGTAAAATGTAGATGTGAGGATAACGGGTCGGTGGTTTTAATAATATACTGGCCAGTGTTAAGAATAGACATCCACAAATCGAGGAGACAAAGATGATTGTTCGGGCTTTATGAACAACATTGAACGAATCAGAAAGTCCCATGTCCCGGAAGAAAGCGACATAAATAATCATCGAGAAACAGGTAAGGGCCAATGTTGGCATAATTAAACCATCTTTAGCCATTAATGGTAAAAGGCTGTTGATAATTAAAGAATAGGATAAGAGAATTAATGAATTTCATAGTGAACAATTAAGTAAAAAGAGATGAGGATTTGATTGTAGAAAAAATAAATGAATTTTGAATAAGTTGCCAAGAAAATAAGAGAAGGAGAAATTGGAAGAGGAACAAATTTTCTCCTTCTTTTTTTATAAAGAGTATAAAACTATTAATTGTAAATGTTAGAAAATATTAATTGTATCAAGTGAAATGAATTCACTGTTAATTGTTTTGGAATTTTTGATTGTTGTTCTCGTTTTCATACCTAAATGTTGATATAATGTAAAACCATAGAGTTGTGAATGGATGTTCATGGATCAAAAGTGTAACTGGCCTGAAATGGAAAATTGATTCAATTAGAGAAAAAATTTGATGTTAATTAGTTAATTAGTGTAGTTTGATTGTGGATAAACTTACAAGGCTACAAGGAGAATTGTCTTCTCGTGAACTTGGAAGGATAAAAGGAAGAAAATCAATGATGTCCCAGCCTAAGATTAACAGAGAGAAATAGAGAATTAGAGAAGACAATTTATTAATCCGATTATAATCAGTAGAGTAGAAAAAAATCTCCTTTTCTTACAAGATTGTAGATGAAATTTTTGACAGTAGGATTTTTGAACAGGTGAAGAGACGAAGGTAAAAGGCAAGTGAATGTGGTCAATGCTGATATTTTAGCCATGTTTTCCGACGAGATCAATGTTTTCAGTTTGATTAGAACTTCCAATGAACACCAAATATTGGCAACTTTGTCCTGTAGATTTGGAATCAATTGTGAGAAATGATCATCTAAAAAACGATTCTTCATAATTGATGCTTACCTCATAAAGTCCTCTTGAAATGGGAAAAAGTCGTTGGACAACGGAGAGAAATGTCTCCATATCCCAAATGAATGGGAACCAGCAAACCGTGAAAGTGGTAATAACAGCAGATCCAATTGTGATCAGAGTAATTAAGCTTTTAGCTCGATTAGTATATTGGAAGCAAATTCCAAGGAGGAAGAAGAAAAATGAGAATGAATAATAAAGGGTCATCTGTTTATAGTTAAGGGCGAGGCAGTAAAGGACTGAGGCGATAAAGTAACGACCATTCATCAACATAGTAACTGACCAAATGGTTAATCCAAGGCTAACACAGTTATATTGAAAATGGCCATGGTCAATAAGGATTAATGCTGGATACATAAGGCCAATTGTTGCGACCATTGCTCTTTCTCTAGGGGTCAAAGGTTTACGTACAATCATAAAATAGTAAACCAAACCGGTGAAATAGATGAAAACATCGCTGACCAATACGGTACTTCTCATGAATATCTTATGGTCATAAGTTTGAATTCCTCTTGAGGTATGAATTTGAACCCATGATCTATTGAACGAATCGGCAATATAACCATTTAACCAACTATGATAGGCAGTTAATGGCGGATAATCTAATCCCCAGTAAAGGAGATCATTGTCAGTGGTGTTTTTGTACCAATCGGTTGGCCTAACATTAAAGGTAATCTCTTGCCAGTGACGTTGAGCCTCATAATCACCATAAATAGGATAATTTCTAGCACCTGGAGTATTAAAAAGGTACACAAAACAGAACAAAAAATAAACTAGATTAGTCAAAGTAAAAAAGATTAACAACAATTTGGAAATGTAAAAATAATTCTTACCAGAATATGAAAAGCGCGAGATTAACCATCTCAACATAAAATTTAAAATTATACTCGGAATTAGGAAACTATCCATCCGAGTTATAGCTTGTTTGACACCTTGGAATACCATGTTCACCGGTAACACAATTAGTAAATTGTAATAAAGGAAAAAATATCAAATTAAACAATTAACTAACCACAAACACTAAGCTCAAAGTAACATAGGCAACACCAAGTAACCAATGCCACATGTGTATTAATAATACAACAAGAGAAAAGATAATTTATCAAATTAATTAGACAATTAATGGTTAATTGTTTGGAGAAAACTTAATCCCAAGTGGTTAACACATAAAGAGAAATCAAATTTACTAATTGTCGAAGTTAATTAATCAGATTAAATTGATTGTTAGAAAGAGCAAAGAAATTAAATGATGAGAAAACAAAGTGAGTATAGAATTTAAATTTAGCGTCTAACCCAAAAGAGAAAAAAAAAGAAAGAGAATTTTTGTTCTCTCTTTTTCTCTTTCTTTCTCGTTTGTTTTCTTTTGTTTTCTTTTCTAATAACATGATGACAATTATGATCTTTAATTTGATTGTCTCTTAATTGTTACACGTCTTCGAATTAATATCAATCTAATTAATCTGTTATTCTTTTAATGATTATTTTTCCTTTTCTTTCTTTGATTGTTACTCTTTTTGTTTATTGCTCTTTAATAGTTTGAATCAATATTCAACATCTGATTAGTTATGATTGATGACGACGATGATTAATTAATTAGATGATTAATTCTATCACTGGTAAGTTAATTTCTTTTTATTTCATGTAATTGTTGAAAGTTTGATGAGAAGTGTGAATTATGATCAACTAAAACTTCTAATTAAGTTGATTGTGTAGCTTTTGAAACCTTTTTTTTGTGTAATCATCTTTGTTTACATGGATTAATTTTTTCTTGTTTCTAATTAGATTTTGACTTTTGATTATAGATTTTGGATTTAAAATTTAACTATTGGTTTCTATTGATTGCCTGCTATTAGTTACCTATTTGATTACAATATGATTAAAGCAGTTATTTTAATTGGTGGTCCTCTAAAAGGTTTGTTTACATTTTTGATTCTCTCAATTAATGTTGATCATTTTGTATTGGTTATTTTTTTGTTTCTCTTTGGATTTGATTATCTGATTTGATGGTTGGTTTTTTTTTGCTTCGTTTTTAGGAACTCGATTCCGTCCGTTAAGCTTTGATACACCTAAACATTTATTCCCTGTTGGGGGAAGACCAATGGTTCAACACTTGATCGAAGCCTGTGCCAAAGTTGATGGATTAAAGGAAATCTTTCTCATGGGATATTACCAATTAGACGCTTCATTGACCACTTTTATCCGTAACATGAGCGGCGAGTACAATTTAGATATACGATATCTTCAAGAATTTACCACACTTGGAACCTGTGGTGGTATTTATCATTTTCGAGACATAATTTGTCGCCATAATCTTGAAGCATTTTTCCTAATCAATGGTGATGTTTGCGGAGACTTTGATTTATCAGCCATGTTGAATTTTCACCGATCAATACCAAATGACACTAATGGATCAATGACTGTAATGGTTACGGAAGCAACTCGCCAACAATCACTTAATTATGGTTGTATTGTCGAGGCGAAAGATAATCATAAGATACTTCATTTCGTCGAGAAACCATCAACCTTTGTTAGTACAATGATCAATTGCGGAATCTATTTGTGTCCAATTACCATTTTTGATCAAATTGCTTCGGTAATTAAATCCAAACAGGATAGTAACTCATCGGAAGCTGGTGAAAGATATGCTGATGATTATTCTGATCTTGATTTAACTAATAAAACCATGAATGGTGATTTACCGGAAATTTTAAGTCTCGAAGAAGATATTTTATCTCGATTGGCTGGTTCCCATTATCTTAACGCTTTTCACACTAATCAATGGTGGTGTCAGGTTAAAACCGCTGCTTCGGCCATTTATGCCAATCGTAATTATCTTAAATTGTATCGAGGATCTCATCCAAGTCTTTTAGTTAATAAAACAACGACCAAAGGACCAGAAATCATTGGTGATGTTTGGATTGATCCAACAGCCGAAGTTGATTCAACCGCTATCATTGGTCCTAATGTTAGCATTGGTTCTGGAGTTCGAGTCAGAGCTGGAGTACGAATTAAAGAATCAATTATCTTAAGTGATGCGCTAATTGGTGATCATTCATTAATTTTACACTCAATAATTGGTTACAATACAGTAATTGGTTGTTGGACTCGAGTAGAGGGAACACCAAGTGATCCTAATCCCGACAAAGCGTTTGCAAAGATGGAGAATCAAACATTATTCAACCAAGATGGTAAATTAAATCCATCAATCACGGTCTTGGGTATGTTTCCATCAACAATTACCGATTAATTAACTCGATGATTACTAATTTTGAAATTTTCTCGACATATTTTTTTTTCTACTTATTATTTAGGTTCAAATGTTCAAGTTCCTTCTGGACTTCTTGTTCTTAATTCAATTGTTTTACCCCACAAAGAGCTTGGTCGAAGTTATCGTAATGAAATCATCTTATAGAAAAAGATTTAATTACAATTTAATTACATTTAATGTAAAATTATTTTCTTCAAATGGTTTAATATTTTTTTCCAACCAGCAACAAGTGAACTTATTACTCTCGTTCTTATCAATACATTTTTATTCCTAAATTCAATATTTTTGACAATTATAATTCTGTCAAATTCCACATGAAAACGTACAATCAAATGTTTATAATTAACAATTAATTAAACATTTTAATCTTAATTTAACCGGTAAAAAAATTCTTGTTTACATGTAAGATTTTTTTCTAATCCACCAGGTGTCGCTCTCTTATTCTTTTCTCAAATGTAAACAAAATTTGAATTTAAATTGTTCCCAAAATGATTTTATTAAAGAAGCAATTTAACTGTAATTATAAATTGTTCTCAAAAAAATTAACTAAATTCCAACGTTTATCTCCTTTAATAGCTTCTGTTTCAGGTTCTTCATATTCAACAACAGATTCTAATGGAAAAGATTATCAACTTTACCTTTACAATCATTACACTCGTTCAAAGGAGTTGGTTAAACTTACCGGTGATTTAATACCAATCACTTTATCGTGTAAACAATTAACTAATGAACCATTAATTGGAACTGTCTATATATGTGGACCAACTGTTTACGATTATTGTCACATCGGCCATGCAATGAGCTACACAAGGTTTGATATTTTCAGGCGATTCTTGCAAACTTACGGAAATGTTAATCTTGGTAAGAGAATTTGTAAAATTTTCTATTCTTTTTTCTTGTGGTTTTCTTTTATAATTAATTGTTTTTCTTTGTTCTAAAGTCACTGCAATGAATATTACTGATATTGACGATAAAATAATGAAAAAAGCTGCTGAAGAAAAAGTATCTTACCGATCGATTGGAGATAAATATTTCTCAGCATTTCTTGATGATCTCCAATCTTTGAATATACTTCCCGTTGATTCATTTGTCCGAGTCACTGATCATATAGATGAAATTATTGATTATATTGGTTCACTTGAAGTTAAAGGATATGCTTATATTAATTCAGAAACTAATGATGTTAATTTTGACACTTCCAAGGTTAATGAATTCAATGATAAGATTGAAAATATAACCGATAAATCAAAAGGTAAAAAATCAAGTAAAGATTTTGCTCTTTGGAGAAGCGCTTCAAATGAACCACTTTGGGTCTATACAAGTCCAGTTAATGGTCAACAATTAAAAGGAAGACCAGGTTAGTACTCATTTGTCAATCAATGATAATCATGCAACAATTAACTAATTTTCTCTTGCAAAAGGTTGGCACATCGAGTGTAGTGTAATTGCAAGTTGGTTATTTGGTTCATCTCTTGATTTTCACTTCGGTGGAAAGGATTTAATTTTTCCTCATCATTTCTGCGAATCAGTTTGTTCATCTTGTTATTTTGATCAAATTAACAAACAATCAGCAACTAATTGGGCTTCTCATTGGTTCCATTCAAGTCACGTCAAAATAGCTAAAGAGGTTTGAATTTGATTCTAAATTTTGATTCTTTCCAATTCTTAATTGTTATTGTTTCGATTTTGTTTTTCATCACAGAAAATGAGCAAATCAATTGGAAACGTAATCACAATCAAAGATTTTATCAAAACTAATAGTCCTGATCTTCTTAGGATCATGTGCCTAATGCAACATTATCGTAGCGGTGAGTAGACCGAATCCCGTTAGAATTGATTTAAATCTAATTGTTTTGATTGTAATTTTTTCCTCCATTTCTTCAATTATTAGATATCGATTATGATGGTTTAATTATCAAAAGATATGGTGAATTAGACCGACGATTTAAACAATTTAATCTCTCAATGAAAGAGAAGACACTTTCGCTTGGATTAAATAAATTTCGTAATGAACAGTTAATTAATTGTCAACCTGATGATCAAAAATTATCTAATCTACTCAAACAATCAACTGATGAAATACTTTCTGGTGCTGCCAATGATTGGGATCTAGAGAAAGGGTTAAATTCAATTCTGGAAGTAATTAATTACTCTGATTCGTTAGTCAATCCAAGTTTAATTGATTTAAATTGTCTTAAATCTCATGTTAACAAATGGATGAATTCAATTGGCCTTAGTTATCCTGATGGTTCACAATCAACTAATACCAAACAAGATTTACTTCTAATCACTTTGATTAATCATCGTAATCAAGTGCGAACATTATCATTGGAAAGTTTAATTAAAACTGATTTAACGGTGAATCAAGCGAAAGAACAATTTAAAAGTATTCTTAAATCATGTGACAATTTAAGAGCTAAACTTGATTCTCTTGGTTATGTGATTAAGGATTCGAAATTCAAAGCTGATAATTAACTGTTTAATAATTTATTCCTCAACTTGTTACCCCAATTAACCCATCAAATCTTTCAACCACAATTAAGATTAATTATTCTGATTGATGATGAAATTTTATTTCATTCCTCTAGTCTCAATGTTTTCATATGTAAATTCATCATCAAAGTAAATCACCAAAACCATGAAAACAATTGAAAAAAGCGTAAGGATTAATCATCAAGTGTATTCAAAGGATTATTAATGATTTAATTATCTTTTTCTCTTGTTTTAGTTTTCCTGTTAATTTCGATGACAATTAAATTACACGATTAGTTGATTATGTTCCCTTATAATCTTCATCTAGAGTCATCATTTAACTGGTTTCGTTTAATTGTGACTTGTGTATTTCTCTTGGTGATTAGTGGACCATTGGTCAGTTCGAAGAAAACATCTTACAATCCACCCGATTTGTCCCAATTGCGGCGAAACTTTTTTGACAATAAACTGTCCTTTGTAACGGTCGGTAGTATTTGGGTATTTTTCTTAATAATTTTCATCGTCTTTCGATTATACTATTTAGATGAGCGAAGTAAATTACACCAAGTTTTCGACGATTGTTCTCCGTCAACAGCTCAATTTAAATATTTAATTCGACTGCGAATCGGTAAATCTTCATCTATTTTCCAAAAGGAAACTTCAGCGATAATGGTTGACCTTTTAGATGCACGTCAGTGTTTTATTACCCGTCTCTCAGTTTCACCTTCGTGGTTAAAGGCCGATGTTTACTCTAGACAATCAGAGAAACCACGACTTCGATCGTTGCGATTTATCCTTAATCGAGCAAATCAACTGCCGACCATTGGTTCAATTCGTCTTGCTCACGATTCGTATTTTCCTGTCGGTGGTTACATTTTTCTTCATTCATTAGAGATTCGAAATATCATCGAAAACACCCTTACACAAATTCCCGTTTTCAAGCGGATTTATGTTCTTCCTCCGGATGCCAATGAATTGGATCAAGTTTTCCATGCTCATCATCACTTTGCCGACAAGAAAAAGGATGAAATTACCAGTGGTTATGCTCCTCATCTCACTTTCTCTGAGACTTTGTTATTTATCTTTTTCTATTCCAATACAACCCTTTTTACCACCATTTTCAGTCCCAGTTACATGGAAATTTCCAGTTTAACTGAAGCGGCTTACAATGGACTAATTGGCATTATACCATCGTCAACTTTTACCGCAATGTTTTTAATTTTGTATCGTTTTATTGTGAAAAATTCCTATGCCAAATCAAAAGCAATAGGATCTTGGTCAGTTGTAAGGATAATATTTCTCACTACACTTACCGCCAATGGACTTATAATTGGCCTTACATCTTCATATATTCAATCCCGTCAAACACCACACACTTTAACCTACTGGTCATTATCAATTCTAATTGCAAACTTTTCACTTGGTGCACTAATTTTACCGTTAATTGTGATTCGATTCATCATTGATTCACTTATTGTCTATCGATCAAGTCAAAAATTAGCTTCAACTCCCTCGTTAGCGAGTAAAGTTGTCGATGAAACCAAACCTGATGACAGACAATCATCGATCATTGGTTCACTTTTACGAATCAAACGGAGAACGGGTTCTAATAAGGGTTTGGAAAGTATGGTGGACGAACATTCAAAAAGTAAAATCTCCAAAACTGGTCAACATGTTAGTAAAAACGATGATGATATGGAAGAGAATTCTAAACTGGAGAAAATGGTGATACAGAAACGAAGTATGGAAGAGGGTTTAAGCGAAACCCCGGAAACTGGGAATATTAAAAGTCCTCGTGTTCGAATAATGTCTCGAATTCACGGAGTTCTAGGTAGACCCTCGAAAGAACCAAGGTCACAAGAGGAAGAAAAAATATTCGATATTGACAAAAGAATCGAGGATCAATCTCATCGTGATTAAATTCTCTTCCATTAAAATATCGAAATTAGAACAAAACAAACAAACCAATTAAACTAATAATCACTTGTCCAATGTATTTCTTGTATAAACCGACTAAATTGTTAATCTTATTACAGTTAATTGTTGATGATCATCTCTGTCAACTTATTTATAATATAAAACAAAGTTAAGCATTTGGAAACTTAATATTATAACTTGAGGTAAAATTATCTCTCTGCACTTTTGAAAGTAATTTAAAATTTAAAATTTGATTCTAATCATTGACTATCAATCACATGAGAAAATTGATTGTGGCAATTAAATGAGTAAATTTCTTTACCCTAGTAATGATTAATTGATTATCTCACATTTTGTAATATTACGACATTTTTAATTATCAAAGTACTTTAGAAAACAAAATTCCAATCAATTCAATTTACCTGAGTAAATAATTAAACGAGGGTAATCATGGGGAGAGATTAAGTTTGTTGATTAAAGCAAAGAAACATTGATTAATTGATAACAATTAACGATACATCAGGATATATATAAATTGTTAACCAGTTTTGGTTAATTTTGATGAAAGTGATACAAGAAAACAAGAAACCAGATTAACACAATTAAAGTGTATCAATGACCATTGAAAAGTAATCACAATGAACTTGATCAGATGGACAGACACGTTTAATTGTTTGATTAGAAGACATTAATTGTATGTAATTAGCTAAATTTGGATAAGATGATGATAAATGATGTTCACAATTTAATGAAGGATCATTTAAGATTTTGATTATCGGGATAATCATTTCCAATGCTGGATAAATCATATAATCAGAATAATAAGGTTTCTCATCACCTAATTAATTATTTCAGAGGAAAAAAGTACAATTAGAACATTTAATTGTTAGATTATTAGATTATCACATTTTCTCTGTTGATTGGTATACTTACTTTGAAGATACTTTGTCTTAATTGTTTGTAATTTAGTTTCCAGTTCATTTAGGGCTTTTTTAATTTCTTCAATCTTTTCATCAATTGTTGATTTTTATTTTTAAGATTTCGTATTGCGGTTAATCCGATTGGGAACAATTGATCAACCAGAATTAATCCTTGGGCTTTAATGTAAGGGTCAGTTGGGTGGATTGATGGACAACCAAATGAATCAATATAATCAACGATTACCAATGATTCAGTTAATTGTTTATCTCCTTCCTTGTAAACAGGTACACGACCGGTTGGATTAACCTTTAGATACCAATCAGGTTTACTGAGTAAATCAATTCCAATGAAATTGTAACTGATTTAATGGATTAACGATACAACAATTAGTTAATTGTCTTCGTCTTTCAATAACTATTAATATTAATTGTTGATTAACTTACGGAATTTGTTTAATATCCAACGTAATTAAGACTCGTCTTACAAAGGGGCAAAATATTGTTCCATAGATTGTTAATTGTTGATCATTATTTTCCGGATGAAATTTACTAGCTAAAAGTAATTAACAATTCCAAAGAGAAATTTAAATTTTAGTAACTTGATTAACTAATTACAATTAGAATTGATATCAATTTGTAATAATTACCTTTATTGTGATAAGTTGACAAAATTTCTGAAGCCATTTTAATGTTTCAATGAAAGCAACTGAATTATATTAACAACAATTAACGGATTAGTTGATTTTATATTAATAAATTTTATCAAACAATCAGTTAATCATGATTAATTGTGTTAATTTTTAATCTTCTCTACAATAACTTTAACCATTTAACCTTTATAATTATAATAATTAACTGATTGTTGTTGTAACTGTTACAATAATCATTACAAGTGCAAAACTATTAATTGTAATTAAACTTTGATATTAATTATGTTGAAACAAAATTTGCCAACCTAATCATATAAATTGTAATAATTTAATAACTAAAATAAAAAGTAAACTTAATGAAAGATTAACTTTTCATTCAACTGATTAACTAATCAATTTATCAATAGTAAAAGTGATTTAATTGTAATCCCAAGATCGTAAGTAATAAATGTCTACGAGTAAATTGAATCAAGGTTAACAATTAAAATGAAGATTAGGTTAAACTAAATGAATGAAAATTAATTAAACTTTAATTGTGACAATTTAAGTTTCTAGAAGATTAAAAAAAAAAAAGTTTTACCAAAAGTTTCATGTTAATATTGAAAAGTTTGTTGATATTACAATCAAATGATAATGAGACATTTGATTTGTTGATTAGTATTATTATCATCAAATTGATTATGATTTACATTGATTTATGAAAAAGTAAATTGTTAGTTAATCCAATTGACATGATTGACCTGACCTGATCTGGTCAGATCGACGATGAGGTTAAAACTTTTTGCTTTTGTTTTTCTCGTTTTCTCATTTAATACAATTACTTTTTGTACTCTTTTCTCAAATCAATCTTTCTAATTAATTTAAATTGCATCCCAACAATTTAAATTGCGAACTGTTTAACAACACTGATGATGATGATCAACCATTTTTTCTCTTTCTTTTTTTCTTTCTTTCCAATTCCAACAAAATCATCTTCCTCTTCTTCCGGGTTAACCATCGCTATCGAAAAAGGTTAATTGACTTTCTCTTATTTATTGACCTTCTTCAGATTGTAGATATTTACTTAATCATAGTAATAACTTTCTTCGAATGATTAACTTTTAATTGTAGTGATTTAGTGAACGTATTTTGTTTTACCCTTTTAATTGTCTCTCCCTCTCTCTCTCTCTCTTCAGAATAATCAATTCAATTGGAATCATTAATTTCTTGATTGGGATCAATATTGTTTCATATGATCATTGAACAATCAGTTAATCAGTTGAAGGAAAAAGTAAAATTTTAGTTAATCAATGAGTTTATATGAAATTTATTTCACTTTTATTGGATTAATAGATCAGGAACAATTTAAATTGATTGTAATTAAATGTTAATTACGGTAATAAACAATATCTATCTAATGATTGGAAACAATGAAACAACAATTAAATTAAATTGTTGATCAAAAGGGGAGAGAGGGAAAGATTTAGAAATGTGATAAACTTGATTATGTTTAATTGATTGTTGGTCAACAATTAACTCATTTGATTAATTTAGATGGTTAAATCTACTCACACTTAGATTAAGAGCAGATAAGGTTAATTAGATAATTTAATTTGGATTAACAAATCTAATTAAGCTTCTCAATTTATGTTTCTGATTAACCTAATCAGTTGGTTCATTTTATTGGCAACAATTAAATATACAATTTGAATTTAAATTAACAACAACAAATTAGAAACCAAATCAATCACCATGACAACAAATGAATCGGATTAAAGTTAATCACATTTTGGTCAATCAAACCAATAGTAATTAATTGTAAAGTATATATTTTATTAAGCTTTATGATTAGTTAATCATAGTAATTAAATATTTTCAAATGAAGGAAAAGTTTAGTTGATAATATTTAATGAAAATAAAGTTAATTGAATTGGATTGAAGTAGAAAACAAAAAACAAATCAATTAATTAGAATTGAAAATTTAATAAAACAAATAACAAAAAGATGATTAAAAGGTTAGCCGATTATCAATGTTGAAATTAACTAATCATGATTAGTTAATCAGCATCGATTCAATTGATTTTGATTAAATCATTTGTTTGATAATAATTATCGGTGTCAAATCTTGTTTATTATCATTATCAGTTTAGTTAATCTGTCTGTCTGCATTTCTTAATCATTATCATTAATAGTTAATTCAAATCTCAATTAGCTGTTAATCATGAACAGTCCGGTAATGACCTTGAAAACAACAACAATTAAATAATGATATAAATTCATCATGATTAAGTTGATTAGTTGAAAAGTTAAACGTGATTGTCAATCGATAAGTTTTGTTGGCAATTTTTTGTTTCGACCATTTTAATATTATATTGTAAAGAAAGTTAATTGTTGAGTTAATTGTCATGTCAACTGACAGGTAAATTGTATTAAATCAGATAATAACAATAGATTTAAATTTGGTTTAATTGTAAGAAAGGAAAAGTCAAATTAAGGAAATAATTAGTAATAATAATGATGATAATTTGATCACAATCAACTCAATTTAAATTGATTGTGTTAAATGTTGATTATATTATTATTTAATCTCATTGTTAATTGTTAGAGGGAAGAGGAAAGATTAATAGATTGATTTAAGATTTTAAATTGTTTCAAATTGAAAGTGAAAGTGAAAATTTAACACACAAAACAATTAATCAGAATCTTCATTCATATATAAAAATAATAATAATCATCATCATCTAATCAGTAATCAGAATTCTGGTTAATTATCATCTATTGGTTATGATTAACAATACGATTGATTTATTGGTGTTTGTGATGATTAAAGAGTAAATGAAATTGAGTTAATCAAGTGACAATATTATCAATTTCTTTTAATCATAATTTCTTCCTCATTTGTGTTGATTTATCTCTATGAACGGTAATTCATTTCACTCAACACGCATAAATGATTTGGCCTCAATTCGCGTCGACATTTTCGTACTTAAGGAAATGGATAAGCCAAAATCTGACTTAATCTTTAACCGAAAGGTAGTAAGTAGTAGTTGTAGTAATTTCTAATGATGTATTCATGATGATGGAGAAAGAGAGAGAGAGAGAAAGATGAAGAAGCGAGAATTATTTTATTCTCACTTGAATATTATCATATCTTCATCTTTAGCACCAGAAGCGAAAGTAACATAGTTGAGTTAGAACGAAGTTAGAAATAACCTGAACAGGTAAATGGCTTAATCGTAAATAGTAAATAACCAGAAAAAGAAAATGAACTTTTTTTAAATATCTTAATTATCTTCATTAACTGTTTGATTACTTTAAGGTTATTTGGTGTTAACAATCAAGAAAACCAAAGGTTAATGATGTTGATATTTTTTTTCCAATTTCAAGCTCTCCAATAAATGTTTTATATTAATTTCTTCAATGAGAAGGTTAAAAACAATTGAGATCTATTCAAATCAAAGGTTAAAATTAAGGTCAAATTAACGATCAAATTAATTGGGAATAATTTAAATTTCACTTTTCCCTTTTATCCTCTTATCCCAATCAAAAACTGTCACCAATTGTTGGTAATTGTTATTATAATTAATAATAAGAATCAATTTGTTGCTTTCTAAATTTAAAAGAAAAACTGAAATTATTTGTAAACAACAATTAATGTCAATTGTTAAACAATTGGAAAGTTCAAGGTTTGATTTGATTTGAGGCGAAGAGAATTAGTTTTCTGGTAATTAATTAAATTGCGATAAAAACAAAAACAAACCAGTTACATTTACGATTATCATTATTACAATTTATCGTGAAACACTTATCAAATTATCTTCCAAAATGATCAGATAACAATCAGTTAAAATAAATTACAGGTAAACACTTTAAAATCATAATTTTATCCTTTAAAAAAAAAAGAAATCAAAACAATTAACTTTAATTAACAGAGAGAAAGAAAAACTTTTCAAAATTAAAATAGAAAATTTTTCCCACGCTGGGTTAGTTTATATTCTATCTAATAGGTGGCGTTGAACTCCAATTTTTCTCGGACAATTAACTAATTGTGATTAACTTGAGAGATTAACAATAATGACAAGACAATTAATTGAATGATCAATAGTCAAATAGATAAACAATTAATTTGAATGAAGAAAAAGAGGAAAAATTTCTGTAAACATTTTACTCTTAAAATGATTAATCTAATTGATTAGAAAACAATTAAATTATTTGCCAATTTTTAGATCAACTTTTGATTAATTAAGTTATTTAGATTGCAAACTTAGTTAACTAATGTAAAATAATATGATTAATTCAGTTGTTCTCTTGGTTCTTGGGTTGGCAAGCAAATTAAAATTAATTAACACAACAATTAGCAAAACGATCAGCACTGAAGATGACAATTTATTATCATTTACCTGGAAGATTGAGTTAATTGTTGCTTCAATTATCATACAAACAACAGTTAATAACCAAAAATAGAGTTGAATAGTATTTTAATTTTCTTACCCAAACAATTAAAGTTTTAATTATTGATTTTTGAGCAACAAGAGTAAAATAAATTGTCAGGTAATCAAGACACTCACACATACTTACAATTAACAACAATCAAAGTTTGAAGATGTTGTTATTTAAACTTAATTGTTTGGCAGCAAAAATAAGGGAAGTAATTGAAAAGTAAATCAAGTCACAATTCAGGTTCGTACCTTAAATATATAAGTGACAATTAAAATTAATTATAACCATACGATTATCATTATTATTATAATAACCATTTGATGATTAAGCTTTTGTGTTGATAATAATAATTTTTAAGAAATCAGCCAATAATTAAATCAATCAATTTAAATGACTTTCGTCAAAAAGATGAAAATTAATTGTGATTTCTAGGAAATTGAAGTAATTTAGTTAATTGTCTCTCATCGGGTTTATAATTAATCATCAGTGCTGACGATTGTTGCTAATTCAATTAACCATTACCCTGATCAAATGATTGAGTGAACTATTGAGAAGTTAATTTGTTCAGGTAAAGGATGATGAGGATAAAGATGATAAAAGATTGAGAGAGAGAGAGAGAGAGAGAGAGAGAGAGAGAGAGAGAGAGAGAGAGAGAGAGAGAAGAAAAAGAAAGAGGAGAAATGAAGACAAGGAAGATGAAGAAACTTGTATGTCCCTCCCCCTTTTTCAGAATCGTATCCATATCATCATGAATTTCATGATGATGACAAAACTTATCTTCATCATCATCATCATCATCATCATCTCTCTCTCTCTCATTTTATCATCCTCTTTTCTTCACCATCACCAAGATCTTCAATGTTTTTACTTCATTTATTGTAGTGATCAGTTAATTCAATTTTTGATTAACAAAATCAAAGAAAAAAAGTTCATTTTTAATTGTAGTTTTTAATTGTTTTATCATTTCATCATCATAATCAATTGTTTCATCTGTTTCTTACACTCTTCCCACAATTTGCTAAATTATTGCAACCAATTTAAATTGTTTTCTCATCTTAGGACTAACTCAAACAATTAAGAAAACACAACAACAACAATTAGTTGAAGAAAAAAGTTTCCAATCATTTAGTGTATTTTCAACAACAACAACAAAAAAAGCGAATCAAATTTAATAACATCGATTGTGTTTGTGCTTTCAACAATTATCGAACTAGTTAATTGTGTTTATAATTAAAGGAATAACTGTTAACAATTAATTGAATTTGGATACAAAATCATTTGGATAATTATTATATAACTTATTTTGATAAAGGAAAACAAAAGTGTTTCAATCTAATCGATTGGTGATCAAATTTGGTTTGGACAATTATCATCATTCGTCAATAACAATTAATCGTTAATCAATTCTAATGGCGATTTCTGATGAAAATAACGATGGACAATCAATCTATTATCCATCGGATGAGTTTAAGGAAAACGCTCATATCTCAACTATGGACCAATATAAGCGTTTATATAAAAGATCAATCGAGGATCCGGAAGGATTTTGGTCCGAAATCGCCCAAGACTTTTACTTCAAGAAAGGACCAACTGGATCTTTCTATCGATACAATTTCGATATTCACAAAGGTCCAATTGAGGTCAAATGGATGGAAGGAGCCGTTACGAATATAACTTATAACGTTGTCGACCGAATCATCGAGAAGGGTTTAGGCGAGAGAACTGCTTATATTTGGTAAGAACTTTTCTAAATTAATTGTTAACAATTGCGAACAACAACAAGAAATGATCATCGAAAATGTTTAATTTGATTAGAAGAAGAAATTAAATTCAGTTTAATCCATAAATTGAACGGAAGTAGACGGTTAATTATGTCTTTCGATTATCAATTTAGATTATCGAAACTTTTTCATTTTCGAGACGAAAAAAACTTTTTCTTATTATTTCAATTCTTTTTCGGATTACAATTATTAATCTAATCCTTTGATCATCTTTACAGATTAAGTTGTAATTAACTTATTAAACAATTAAGGTTAACACGGTTTTTGATTGTTCAGACATAAACAATCAAACAATTTAACCTTTTTCGCCCGCTTTGATTACCTAATTGCAAACTGATTAAACAATCATCTTGTCATTTGATTTTTTAATTCAATTCATTAAATTATAATGAATATTAGTAAGTTAATCAATTCACTTTCTATTCATTAACAATTAGTTTATTTTAATAATAAATTGTTATAATGTAAGATAATTACAATTAAGGGGAAAAAAGTCAATAATTGTAATTTTATTATTGATAATTAGATGAAATTAAACAACAACAACAACAATTAGTTGGTTGAATGGATTTTTTTTTCCTGTTCTTAATCAAATTCAGTTTAGTAAGACAACAATTTACTTTCTCGGCAACAATTTATTAATCATCACCATCACTCGTATGATTATATACATTTAAATAGCGAAAATGATATTCCAATTGAATGGAAACTTTTTTTTCTAACTTACCTTAAAATCCTAATCAACGTATTTCCCCAGTAAATACTATCACCCATAGAATATCATCTTAATTATCATCTTAATTATCGTCTTAATCATCACCATTATCAGTATAATCTTCATCTTTTAATCAACAATTTAAAGAAACTTGCAATTGATTAAAGATTTTTAAATCTCGAGGTTAAATATATCCTGGTAATTTTGGCCTTCGTTTAATTTATCAGTTTTAATTTGTTTTTATTTCTTGTTTTCCACCAGAGTAACAATTAGTGATTTAATTGTTAAACTTTAGGGTGTTGGAAAAACATGGGATAATAATTTAATAACAATTAAAATAGTTAATTGTAGAAATCAACATTTCCATATCATTATTATAGTTGAAAACTTTGACACTTTCCTATGAAATATATGCGATGATATAAAGACAATTAACTCCGAGTGACAATTTAAATTGTAATATTAAATGATTAGTTGAGATACTGATTAACAGAAAGAGAAAAAAATTTCAATTAATTTAATTTTCTATTTGTTACTCGAGTATAAATTTACCTGTTAATTGTTATTTAATTACCAAAATTTTTAGCAAAAAATATGATCAACTTTTTGTTATTAACTAATCAAGTAGTAATTTTGTTTTTTTTTTCAATCAATTGGAATAACAATTAACCATGATAATTTAAAAAGCATATTGATTGTCAATTTTTAGCACAGAAATCAGTTAATCATCATTAGTTGATTTGAAATTGTTTTCTTTATGGTGTTAAGTTGAATTTTTCTGATTCGCTCCAGAGATTAACAATTTACTTTTGTACAATTTGTAAATTGTAATCATAACCATCACGAAATTATATTGACGATGATTATGATGATGATTGTGATGATGATTGTGATGATGATGATGACGATCACTGTGATGATAGGAAAAAGAGTTGACTTACCAATGAGCATTTATCATCATTATCAACGCAAGAAATTTAAACAAAATTAAGGTGACAAGGTGATTACATTCAAAGCTATTATTATAATTGTGAACCTAACTAACGTTATTAACGGGTCACAATTTAGTTAATTGTAATTGTTTGAAATGCTACGATTACTATTTAGGGTAATTTTAATTACATCTCGTTAAGGTTGGTAAAATTTTACCGTTAGTTTAGTTAGCTAATACTGTTAGTAGTTAATGTTAATTTGCAACAATTAATTGACAGCAACTTGTATCATCAAATTTATGTAATAAACTAATCAGAAACTGATTTAGTTTTTCCCCTCTTTTTTTTTAATTGTAATTGATTATTTTTTTTTCTTACTCTACGATGATAATGATGATTATCATGACGACGACGACGATAACAATCATGATGGTTAAAGGGAAGGGACTGAACCTAATCAATATCGAACCATAACTTACAATGAACTTCGTCGACAAATCTGTAAATTCAGTAATGTCCTAAAGGCCAAAGGTATTAAGAAAGGTGATCGGGTCGCTCTTTACATGCCAGTGACCATCGAACTTGTAATTGCCATGCTTTCCTGTGCTCGAATCGGAGCCATACACTCGGTTATCGTAAGTAGATCATTTATCGACAATTTTTCTTCTCCATTGACTCGGTCAACTAATTGATTTTCTTATTGATTGTCGTTGATTTAGTTTGCCGGATTTTCAGGAGATGCAATTGCCGAGCGGATTCTTGATGCTCGATCTAAACTTTTGATCACTTGCGATGGTTGTTATCGGGGCACCAAGTATATCCCATTGAAAGAGTTGGCAGATCAAGCGGTTCAGAAATGTAAAGCCAAGTAAGATAATTAAGTTAATGATGGAAAATTTAAAACTCAATTAATTGATAAAACTTTTAAAAAGTTGAAGAAAAAAGTTTTCTCAACCTTTTCTAACTTGTAATATTGTTATATATGAGTTATAATTTTATACACCGATATTAATATTGAATTCAATTGATTAATTGTTGATAATTTAGGAATCATTATCTTGTTGCTGTAATTGTTTATCATCATCTTAAAGAGGCTGCAAGTCTTTCCCACTCTGGAAGTGGTAATAATAATAATATACTGAATGGGTCAAGTGGAGGGTCAAAAAGTGAAAATAAAATGACCACTAAACATATTGGTTTTAATGGTGTTAAACCCGTTACAAGTGCTCTTGGTATCAATGGTGCTAACGGTGTTAATAATAACGCTAGTGGCCTTAAATGTAATGATAATAAAAATAATGAGATGAAAAGTGTTACCGTTAACAACAATCAAGTTAATTGTAATAATAATATCAACGAAGGTAAAAACAATTCATCGTCAAATGTTGCTGTAAATGTTAACAATATCACCACAATTAACAACACAATCAGCAACAATAATACAACATCAACACCATCAACAGCAACACCAACAGCAACGGCAACAACAACAACAACAACAACATCAACAACGACAAACAATAATCAAAATGTTAATAATAATACTAATTGTAAGGAGGATCAACATGGTAAAGAGGATAAAGTTACTGAGAAACCCAAGGAACACCCTGTTATCCCTTGGAACCCTGATCTTGACCATTGGTGGCACGAATTGATGAATTCAGCTGATGACCATTGTGAACCTGTTTGGGTTGATGCTGAGGATCCATTATTTATTCTGTATACAAGGTAATTAAAGCTAACTAATTTGTAACAATTCACGATGAGAGAAAAAAAAGAAAAACAAAATTCATGATAATCTGAGGAATCATTTTCTCCTCGAAAGAGAATTGAACTTTAATGAATTTCGTTTCTCTCTCTCTCTTCGAGATTAAATTATTCATATTATGGTGAAAAATGAAGTAGTCAGGATGAAATTTGTTGTGAACAAAAAAAGAGAGTGAAAAACTCATTAAATGAATGAAAAATCGTTCCAGGTAAATCTCATGAAGAAAAAGTCCCTCTCATGACACGTACTATGAATTTCTCAGGTAAATTCCCTCTGACATTGGATTGAACTTGATCCATCATCGAGATCTTCATCTTCATCTCTCTCTCTCTTTCTCTCTCTCTCTCTCTCTCTCTCTCTTTCTCTCTCTCTCTCTCACTCACTCATCTTACAAGTTTTGATTTTCTTATTTCGTTTTGATACCTGAAGAGAAAATTTTTTTTTCTTTTCCAATGTTACCTTGCCTTCACCATCGCCTTTGGTGATTATCATTTATCACAATTATAATCATCATGCTATTATTATGATATTATTATTTTTAATCATCACCAATAACAGTTTGTTTAGTTGATTGTTGTTTAATTTTAAATTCATTGTTTCCACTTTTCCCTTTTTTATAATTCAACTTTTTTTTACCTCATTTGTTATTACCTGGAGACGATGATGATGTTGATTACCTGTTGTTTAATTTAATTCAGTAAATTGTTAGCTAATTATTTTCACACTTATAAAGTAAACATAATCAAATTTGATCATGGGATTCAAATCATGATCACTGGGTTAGTTAGTTTAATTAAAAACGCTCCGTTCACACTGATCAAACTAATTTGTGTTAAATTTTAAGTTAATTGTTTACGGATTTTTATGGTTGATCATTTTTTTTCATTAAAGTTAATTACTTTTATATCTGATTATCTGTGTGTCCATTTAGATGATGATAATGATGAGGATGAGTTATGGTCAAGAATTGGTTGTCACCATTTGATTGTTGCTGTTGTTTTTAATTTCTACCGGAAAATTAATAAAACAATTAACTTTTCGCACTCGAAATTGAATTGATTCAATTTCGACATTGAAATGTATTCGTAACCTTCACAATTATTGTGATAAATATGAGAGATAAAAATGGCCTTCGGCAGAATCAGTTGGTTGTATGAATTAAATGCCAATTAAAAACATGACGATGATGATAAATGGACAGACACTTAATCATATTGATTATTAACCGGTTCGATTTACAATTGACCGATACATTTATAAGGCCAATTTTTGTTTCTCTTTAATTATCTTACCCGTATCAAAGTATTAGTATTAATGGTCACTCGAATTCGAGGAGATTCGGTCAGTTCGGTTAGTACATTTATCCACAATCGAAGTTAAATTTTTTTGAGAATCACAACGTTGATTCTTGGTTGTTTATTAGGGAAATTGTTGGACAATTAAATTGCTACTTCAATCTAATCGAGATGAAGATGATGAAGATAAGGGAGAGAGAAAAAACAAGAAGAAAATACGAAAAAGTTTTCTTCAATTTTGTTTTATGTTCGTAACTTTTTTTATTTTAAATTCGATTCATTTCGAATCTTTTTAAGGTCATAAATGGTCAAGATGACCTGAGATTATCACGGAACTGATTTACAATTCAATTCTTAATCAGATGATCATCATGATGTTAATCAACCTCTTTTTTTGTTATTTACTATTCATTTCTTATAGTTAGTTAACTAACTACCGGTTAATTAGTTGTTGATTATTTTGTCTATTAAGTTTCTGCTTGGATTAATATCTTCTTAATTTGATTATTTTAATTTAATTCAATTATTTTACTCTTTATTTTGTTTTTTTTTTACTTTGATTGTTGAATTGAAATTATAATTCAATTGATGGTTAATTATGCCAACAGCAATTTTCACCGATTTTATCAAATCAGAAAAGTTTGTTGATTGAGATGAAAAAGAAAAAAAAATCTAATTAATTTGTTTAAACAGCAACAATTAAGGATAAAACAATTTACTTGATGATGATTAATTGTCTCTTTATATTATTTCAATGATAATTTGATTTAATTAACTTTCTTTCAATTGGAAAGTTACAATTAGTCAAAAATAAAACTCTAATTTTGTTGATTAGTTTTTTTTTATTTTAGTGGTTCCAATATGATTAAGTTAATTTAGTTCTATTGCAAATGACAATTAAGATGATATATTGATAATAATCAAATTTAATTTCTTTAATTTTGCTCGTTGCCGGTAGAAATTAACTGGTTGATTGTGACAATTAAAAGAAAATTAAAAAAAAATGAGAAAAATTTTCTGTTTGTAATTAGGTAACGATCCATTTAGTTGATTCCCTTTGGCAATTGAGTGAACGTGAAAAATGCTTGTTCTCAGTTTTTTAACATTTTGAATGTGAAAATGAATTAATTACCAATTAATTAGTTAATATTAATAATATTGAAGTTCCAAGGACCACAAAAATAACAGAAAATTATCCAAAAAGTGAGTGAAAAGTGAAATAAAATAAAATTTAAAGTGACAACAAAACCATTGAAAAGCATTGGCAACGTTACCTTTTGCTCAATGTGACAAAACCTAAATTTATACATGTAAATGTATTTAAAATGTCAAAACAGTCAATTATTATTAATTAATATTACTGTTAAGAAAACAAGATTTCTGATTTATCAGAATGAAAAGAAATCAATTCCGTAAAATGGGTCTACTCGACCCATGCTTACTGAAATGTTGAGTATAATTTTCATGAAGATGATCTGATATATAAATTTCTTTGTATTTTTTTTTCTTTCTTTTCTTTTTCCTTTCCCTTTAACTTTGATTTGTATTTTTCCTTTAATCTTATTAGTTTTTGATTTTTATTTTGTTTGAATATTATTAATTGTAAAAATAATATGTAAACAAATGAAATAATTTACCTGTAAAACTGAGGAGAATATCTTGATATTCTCTGGTTCAAGTGCTACGTCACTTGCACAGGATTTAAAATCCATCCACTATTTGGATCAATAAACATGAGTTAATCACTTCTTTGTTTGTTTAATTGTTTGTCTCTTGAATTTAATTCAATTTAATCTGATAATTAGTTTAATCATTTCAACATCTTGTTTCAGTTAATTACTGGATATTTATAGTTTAACTCGAGTGATTAGATTAACTGATTTACTGATTAGTTTTTGATGTGTTGTTGTTGCTTTTTCCCTCCATCATCAATCCTTTGTTTCTTTGTTTTGTTTGTTTGGTTTTTGTGATTTATGATTAATTAACTTATTAATTATCTTTGATGATCTATTTTCTTCTATCGGGACACAATTCATGAGCTGAGAAATTTATTGAGAAATGTATTTTTCTCGACCAAAAAGTTCATTTCGGTGAAATTTCCATCAACAATTGGCTGATTTTCTCTCACTTTGATTGTTGCTTTGTTTTTCCATTATAGAAAAAATTTTCTTTTCTATTCTACCAAAATGTTGACAGGTAACAGTGAAAACAACTAATCAACTAATTGTAATTGTAATTAATAACTACTATTTTACTTGTAATCAAATTATAAGATCAAATAGTAATATGATTATAATTTTTTCCCCATTGTTTTGATTTATGTTTACAGATAAAAATTAACGGGAAATTTTTTGATCTAATTGTGATTCCTTTTCATCTTCCATTGTCTTATATTTTATTGTATCTTTCTAACTAACATGTAATAGTATTTATTTCACAAAGTTTTTCCCCATTTTAGAAGATTTTTTTTCTTCGAAGAGAGTTACAGTTAACAATAGAAATTAAATATCAATTTCTGATGTTAATTAGTGAAAAAACTGACGAAGAAAAAAAGAGAAAAGAAATATACATTTACATCATCAATTGTCTGCACGAAAAGTTAACCAACAAGGTGAACACTAATCAAAAAAGAACGAAAGAGAAAAATCAACTATTAATGTTTTCCAACGATGATTTATTATGTTTATTATTAATTAACAATAATTAGAAATAATTGTTGGAGAAAATTAAATAATCGATTATTATTTTGGTACATTGGAAAACATACATTTAGTTAATTCCTTCTGAAGGAATTACCCTTTTTCCCTCTCACTCTCTCCCTTTTTACTCAAATGTTTCGCTAAATTATTAATTGTGAATTAATTTTCTTACTACTTTTCATCATTATTATTCTCAATTATTACTAATTATCTTTTTTGTTTCTTAATTTTCTCTCTCTCTCTTTCTAGTGGTTCGACTGGTAAACCAAAGGGAGTCTTACACACGGTTGCTGGTTACATGATTTACGCTGCGACTACTTTCAAGTATATTTTCAATTACAATGGAGGCGATGTTTTCTTTTGCACTGCTGACCTTGGTTGGATCACTGGACACACTGTCAACGTATATGGATCTTTGGCTAATGGTGCGACCATTGTACTATTTGATGGTACCCCTTTCTATCCGGATGCTGGTCGACTTTGGCAAATCGTTGATACCCACAATGTTAATACCCTTTATACCGCTCCGACTGCAGTTCGATCACTAATGAAATATGGAGATAAATATGTTAAACAATATTCGCGCAATTCACTTAAATTATTGGGAACCGCTGGTGAACCAATTAACGAGGAAGCTTGGGCTTGGTATTTTAGGATTGTCGGTAATGGACGTTGTCCAATCGTCGACACTTTTTGGCAAACTGAAACTGTAAGCACCTTCTAATTGTCCATTTTAATTAGAATTCTAATTGTTTCCATTTTTCTCATCATCGTTTTAATGGTTGATCATTGGACTCTTTTTGAGCTTTTTTTTTCTTTATTCATCTATTTGGTTGATTTTCTATTGGACATTTCAAATTGGCTTTTAATTGTCAACCCCAATTAAACATTTAAATTGTTGCCAAAAGGTTGATCAATATGATATGTGCCAAAATGGTGTTAATAGTGATTTAAGTTGATTTTCTACCGAATCAATTGTTGAAAATGACGATGATATATAGATACTGTTTAGTTAATTGTTGTAATTTAGAGAATCGAAATATTTTTTTATCGTAACTTTATATTCACTTTCCCTCATATCAAGTTAGCAGTTTTTTTCTTCTTCTTCTTCAGATCGAATTGATTAACAACGGTTCGATTTTTAATCATTACTTTTCAATCTTTCAATATTCTAACCATCATGGTTATCATTGCATATAATTGACGTTCGTAATTACAGTCAACAATTAACGGAATCTTTTAACTATTTTCATCCATGATTAATTGACAAGTTGAAACACAATTTGATAATCATTGTGTGTATATATATTTTCATCGACCTTGACCGTGATTTGACCAATCAAAATTAACAATTTATCAGATAATCAACTAACCAACTTATATATTTTTTCCTCTTAATTTACTTCTAGTAACCAAGTAACATACAATTAGCAATTATTATCAAATTAATTTAACTAATACTTTTCCTCACCTAAATTTGTGATTGATTATATACTTGACCAAATTTCATGTAAATTAATAGATGACGATGCAAAGATGATTACATGATGATGACAATAATTAACTCGTACATGATTGATTAACCTTTTAATTGTATACTTGATTATTTGACGTTTCTTTTAGGCTGCACCAGTTATATCAACGTTACCTGGTTGTACACCAATGAAACCTGGATCAGCGTCATTCCCGTTTTTCGGTGTTGTACCAGCAATTGTTAATGACGAAGGTCGTGAACTAACTGGCCCATCCGAAGGTCACCTTGTATTTAAAAGACCTTGGCCTGCTCTTATGCGAACCGTTGATGGAAACCACAAACGCTTTGAATATACCTATTTCACTCGATTCCCTGGTTACTATTGTACCGGCGATGGTAAATTGCGATTTTTATAGACACTGAATTCGTTGGACTTTTGATTTGATTTTAAAATTTGTGATTATACTTTTTTTTTCGTAGGATGTAAACGAGATAAAGATGGTTACTATTGGATTACTGGACGAACTGATGATCTCCTCAATGTATCAGGCCACCTTTTATCTACCGCTGAAGTGGAAGCAGCTTTAGTTGAACATTCAGCTATTGCTGAAACGGCCGCCGTCTCAACACCTCACAATGTGAAAGGAGAATGTATCTATTGTTTTATCGTTCTTAAAAATGGTTTCGAATATTCTGTTCAACTTGAAAACGAACTTAAAACACAAGGTACACAATTGAATTTGTCGAATTTTTTTTTGTCCAAAGAAAATGATTCTAATTATATTAATATATATTCTTCATTTTAATTTTCATCTTCGTTTACATTAGTGCGACGTCGTATTGGTGCAATAGCTTCACCTGAAGTAATCCATGTGGCCTCAGCTCTTCCAAAGACTCGAAGTGGTAAAATAATGCGTCGGCTACTTCGTAAAGTTGCTCGTGATGAAAGAGATGAACTCGGAGATCTATCGACCTTAGCAGATGACTCAATTCTAGATGAACTTTTTCAAACTCGAAGCATATATGCTTGATAAACTAAGACGATAATCATCACTAATCAACCACAAAAATCACAATAATTCAAAATCATCTCTTTAAATCATTACCATTTTTAAGCCTCTCCTTGTTTTCCTCTCTCCCTCTTACTCTTTTTTTTTATTCTCTTGTCCCTCAACTTAAACAATTTAAAGCGATACCTTTTCATTACTTTTAATTGTTGTCGATCAACTATCATATTAATCAGCTATATATTAATGCATCATTGCTTTTGGCATGGAAAATGATAATCATCAAATTTTATTATCCAATTAATCAACCAAAAGCATCAAGATTGAAAGACGAAGGACAAACAAGAAGTGACCAAGAAGAGCATCAACATTATCATCAAAATCAAAATCATCATCATTATCAACTATGGGAAAAAAAATTGTCAATCAATAATCAAATCAACTCTAAAATCTTAGAGACTTTAATTTTTTTTTCATCATCAACAGTCAAAGTGATTGCATCAGTAAAAATAACTGAGAAAGTAAAACATTTAAATCAACAAACTGCAAGTTGATTAATTTCTGATTAACTTGATTATTGTTAATCTCTATCTGATTGTATATCTATTAACAATTTCCCCTCTCTTTTTAATCAAACAAAAACAACACACAATCAATTAGAAAATTAACTTAATTGTTCAATCATTTAATTACAATGATTGGTCATTTCTTTTTTTTTTAAATTCTTTCTCTGTTTAAAGACTATGAATACAAGAGATCAAATCAAATTCGCAACAATCAGTTAATTACAAATTATATTTCATCTTTAAATGTTAATCCTTAATGTATTTTTATAATCTTTTATGTTACACTTGAAAAAAATTAAAAGGGTTTTAATTGTTGAAGATGCGAAATTAAATAAAATTAAATAACAACCATTGGTTTTGAAGATGATCATTATCAACAATTTAACATAATTAAGGCAAGTTGATATTAATTTTGGGTTAAAATGTTACAATTAGTAAATTTTTTGGGTTAAAGGATTTACGGTTACATCTAATTAAGTAAAAATTTCCCTTAACTAATCAACAATTAGAGTTAAATTAATGGTTAGGGCGATGGTTACAATTAAGTGAATGATGAAAATGAATCTCTTTTCTTCATGATTTTAACTCCATGAACTTAATTACCTGATGTTCATTAAATTGACATTCACTGGAAATTGAATGATCGATGTTTACAATTACGTTGATTGTTGGTAAACAATCAAATGTTTACCAATGTTTGTTTACAATTAGAAACAATTAGTTTCCCATCCATGGGTTTGGATCCTTTTTGACAATCTATTCAATTGGAATCTATTGATTTCTTCAATCATAAAGGTAACAATTTCAGGTGAATGTATTTTTTGGACATGATGATGAGGATGATGAAAAGAAAGAGAGACAAAGAAAGAGGAAGATGAAACAAGTGAGAGAGACAATTAAGTATCCATAGTGATTAAAGTTATGTTTGTATCTAAATTGTTGATAACATTGAACCTTTTCCGATGATAACCACAAGTCGAAGAGGTTAAATCAGTAACTAAATTAGTCTTCGCGGATATGAAACAATTTAATTGTGAGAATTAATATTTTCCAATTGAAATCTATGTAGTTACCATAAAGAAAGTAATAGAAACAATTAAGGATTATGTTGATTACTTGGTTTATTTCATTGATTAAAAAGTTTCAATTACTTTTGATTTTTTTATCAATAAAACTTTTAATTACTCGATCAAATGATTTTGTTTATTGTATCAATTCAACGAGTAGTGTTTACAATTGTGATCAAACAAATTGTCTTCATGGTGTTTGTTGGTCTAAATCATCACAATTAACTGATTTAAAATCATGTTATTGTGATAATGGATTCACTGGTTATCAATGTTCAATTAATTATGATGATTGTCTCCTTAATCAGTGTCAAAATGGTGGTACTTGTGTTGATAGAATCGCTGATTTTGATTGTATCTGTCCACCAGGATACACAGGTAAGTTGATTTGGTTAATTGTTGTTCCTTGATTGTTGAAATTTTCTCATTTCTTTCATAGGTAAATTGTGTCAAACTGAGATAAATGAATGTATCTCAGCACCTTGTCTATCGGGTGGATCTTGTATTGATGAGATAAATGGTTTTCGATGTCAATGTTTACCTGGATTCTCAGGTCACTTTTGTGAGATCGATATTTCCGTTTGCAATGAGACTGGATTTTACGACGGAACGGAAACAAGTAAATGTTTGAATGGTGGACAATGTTCAGAAGGTCCTGGTCTCGAATATAAATGCCAATGTCAACCAGGATTCGAGGGCCATCGATGTGAGACAATAATCAATCAATGTGAACCCAATCCGTGTTTAAATGGCTCTCGGTGTGTCAATCATATCGCCGATTTTACTTGTATCTGTCCACCCGATCGAACAGGTAAAACGTGTGAAAATGATTTAATTCCCTGTGAAATTAATAACTGTCAACATGGAGCAATTTGTTTAATCACATCGAGTTCAACTCGATCATGTTATTGTGTACCCGGTTTCTATGGGGTACATTGTGAACGGCATTTTAATGAGTGTATGTCATCAGTAAATGTTTGTGCCAATGATGGTCTTTGTATTGGTGGATTAGTTAATTACTCTTGTTCGTGTTTAAATGGATTTAAGGGAAAACATTGTGAAATAAATTGTTCAAACAATTACGAGTCAATTATTGATCAACGTTGTTTCAATGAGAAACAATCAACCACCAATCAGTCAATTACAACACTCGAACCATCAATTGGAATTGATTATTCATCAACTACGACATCAACTATTAAGACAATTATTTCAAATGGATCGTCATTAGAATCATCAACTTATCATCAACAATTAGCTAATCATTCATTTGACAATTACAATGAATCAGTTGTTGATTATGAATCAGCAATTATTAACTCACAGTCTCCATTCAGTAATCAGTTTAATTCATCGTTCTCGGTTAATCAACATGATGATTTATCATCATTAAAAGATAATCAAACTATTCCCAGTGATTTAGTTGATATTAACGATTTGTTTAGTCCATCATTTAATGGTGAATCATCTTACATGGTAATTACCTCGGACGATGATCAATATGTTTCGAGTTTAACAATTAACTTATCCTTTTTGAGTTACGATTCTAATGGAACCATAATTTCAACTCGTTCGACAATCGATTCAAGATATTTTATAATAATCTATTTGAATGATTTTCGACTCAAGGTTTGGTTCTCATGTAATTCTCGAGAAATGGATCTGATTGAATTTCCAGGCCTCATTTCGGCATCGACTTTCTATCCGCTTACATTTCAATTGAATCTCCAGAACAACTCATGTACCGCTCGATTGACACTCAATCATAATTATACAATAATCAGTGGACAGTCGGTTGGATCATCTTCATCTTCACCTTCATCGCCGATTCGTCCTCTTTGGCCTTGTTTCCGTGATTTTTATCTCGGTAAAATGGACCCAAGTTTAAGATCATTTTCTCATATCGATAATGATAATGTTCATTTCAACGGTTGTCTCAAAGAGATAAACATTAATGGTCTTAATTTGATTAAGAAAATTGTTAATGTTACCGAATGTCAAATGGCCTCCGTTTGTTCAAACGATCCTTGCAACGGTCGAGGTAAATGTTTACAATCACCGACGAACTGGTCTTGTCATTGTGAGCCCGGTTATTCGGGACGTCGATGTCAATCAGCTAATTGTTCACCTAATCCATGTGAAAATGATGGTCTCTGTTTAACCACAGGCTCAGATTTTAATTGTCTCTGTAGTAATGGCTCGTTTGGTGAATACTGTCAATTAGGTGAGTATCAAATTGATCCAAATCAAAGTTGATTAATCAGTTAATCATTTTCTATTTCTATTTCGTTTTTGTTCATTTGTTGTTTCGTTAACAATTTAATTAGATCTGAATGAAACTCTTCCAGCCTTTGGTTACAATGATAAAGGTTCATCTAATTCATACATGATCTATGAACTTCCTAATCAAACATTTCATTTCGAGATGAGATTTAGATTAATGATCTCAAATCATGTTAATCAAAATAACTCATTAATCCTTTTCTTGGGTAATACAAATAATATTAGATTAAGGGGACGACCAATTGATTTCATTAGTATCTCGCTGCTTGAAGACATGATTGTCTATCAGATTAACATGGGCCAGGGAACCAAAGTTATGGTTGGTAAGATGAATTCAACTCGAGTTCATACAATTTATCTTGGTCAACACCGACAATTAGCTTGGTTAATTGTTGATGATTTAAAGAGAGACCTCGAAATTGTCCAAACTCGACACAATAAACTTAACATTGAACCTTTTCTGTACATTGGTAATCATAAAGCTTCACCTTTAAGGACTTTTACAACTTTCCAAGGTAATTAACTTTTCTCTAATTGTTCAACGTTTAAATTGTTTCCATGATAATTTAATCATTTCTTTTTCTTTAACTAGGTTGTGTTTTTGACATTCAAGTTCGTAATGATCCTAAATTACCCTTCCAACAATTAAATAATATCCTTTGGAGTTCCAATGTTAATGAATGTACCGATTTGCATAAATGTAGAAAAGGTTAATCATTCTCATCTTCTATCAACAATTAAGTATTAATTACTTAACCATTAGTCTAGATTGGATGTAAAAAACTTCCCAGTGCAATATTATTATATGAGAAATTAAAATTTCTTTAATTATCTTTGATTCTTAAAATCAAATTTGTATTTAACTTTTCACTGTTTTTCTATTAAAATCTCACAATTTGATACAAAACATAATTGTGTCTCAATTTTGAGTAAATTGATTAGTATGTATATTAATCAATCAACAATCAACTATCATAGTTACTGTAACCAACTGTTGATAACTTTGAATGTAATTAACATCGATTAAAGTAAATAGATTTAAATTGCTAATAGAGCAATTTATCAGTAATTAGTTGAGAACTTATCAGAATGATTTTACATTAAGATAATTAGAAATTAAATTGTTACCATATTTCTGATAATAAACTAATTAACAAATCATTAGAGTAATGATCATCTTGGATTTGGTTGATGTGTGGATTGTGAGATTGAATCAATCTTGTCGATTAATTGGTTATAATTGTTAACCAATAATTCAACTCTAAAAAGTGAAGGATTTTTCAAATTTTTCGCACTAATTAAAATTTTCCTCTGGCATTAGAGTGATGGTCAAATTTAATTCAGGCCATTCGTAAGTTCGAGGTAGAGATTCCTAAATAAATATAGAGAATAACAAACGGAAGAAGAGAAAAAGATTAAAATTGAATCATTCAAATAATAAGATGGAAAAGTTAATCATCTTACAAAATCAAGATCATTTAGTTCCTTCAGATCTTTTAACATGGTGTCAATACTACGATCGGGAATTAAAATCTGCAACCAAGGTCCATGGATAGCGTAAGGTTGCTCTTCGTTCACATGAGATCCACTGACCGAAGGTGTGACAAAGGTTATCGCGAGATCACCGAGGATACTTTTAAAGGTGAAATGTCGTCCGTGTTTAAGTCGTCCACTAAAAAGAGAAATCAAATGTTAAAGAAAAAGTTGAATGGAAATTAAATTTAACTTTAAATTATCTCTGTTTTTCTCTCACCGTAAAGCTAAAGGTAAAAGTAAACCAGCTTCGAGATTAAGTCGAAGGTAAATTTTCTCGATAAATTTAGTTTGGAGCAATTCTCCAGGTTCGGGAGCTCCTGTTTCACTCGCGTAAGACATACGTGAATTACTTTGGTTTTGTTGATCATGGGTGATGGACATGTTTGAATTACGACTATTACAGGTTGGCGAGGACATACCACCGATCGGTGAACCACATGAATTTACATTATTATTAGTATGACAATTATTATTGGTGCTGCTGTTGTTGTTGTTGAGGTTTGTGTTATTGTTAAGCGTATTGTGATTAAGGTGATTACTTAAATGATTGGGGTGATTATGGCTCAGATTTCCTCTTTCTAGTATTGGATGATTTTCACCATAATCTGAGTCTGAATCTGAATTGGCATCTTCATCATTTGAATCATCATCACTGTTACTAAATGGTTTATCACTCCAGGCACATTTGGCACTAACTCCACTTAAATTAGATCCTTCATCGATAATCCCTTTGTCAACCGATTCCTGAATTTCTGTATCAATTTCGAAAATTGTCTCTCCTCTTCTCATATTGGTTACTAACCAAGGGCCACCGGCAACTTCAACAGTTTTCATAAGCTCAATGATTCCTGGTCCATTCCATTGTTGAGCTGCTTTCAATTCTTCTAGACAAACACCAACAATTTGAATAAACGTAACCCCTCCAAATGGAGTATTAATTGTTCCCAATTGTGGATCTTCAGTCATCAACATGTGCTCAATTCGTGATTCACTGTTGTCCAATGAACAATGCCAAGATACATGATCTCCAGCACATAGGACATTTTCCGATTGGAAAACGTATTTAGCCAATGCTTGCATGACCATCGCCGGCCAAGTTGGTGGTCCTGGTTCATCATCCTTTTTCAAACGGAATGTAAGCTCAAACCCATAACCACTGGGTGATGATTGATCAGTGGGTCTAATTGGACAAAAAAAAACGTGTAAAAAAAGCCAAAAAAAGTTTAGCAACAAAAGACAATCACAGAATCAAAATAAGATAAAATGGAAATAAAATAATTACTGGTGAACTCTTCCATCTCCATATAAATCAGACAATCCAAAGCTGATGTAATGCCAGTGAGGTGGAATATTTTGACTGGGATCTCCTGGATTAGAGTACATGCTAATATAATCCAATGGGTCAGGTCCACCAAACCTGATAAGTAGAATTGCGAGAAATAAAAAGTAAACAATAAATTAGAAGTGGAAACAATTAAAATGTAAAATGATAAAAATATCAGCTAATCTTTGAAGTTTTTTCTCTTCTAAAAAGCTAATCCACTTACCAATATTTAACATTCGCCGTAACCTGAAGAGGATTAGGTTGATCGGGATATAATCGCCTACAGGCAGCATAAAGAGCACCAAGACCTGGAGGAATCGCATTGGCATAAGGTGAGATTGGTGTAAGTGAACCAGGTAAATATGGTAAGAATTCACGTCCAGTTGCCATTTTTTAAGAAAAAAGTGAACTTGTTATGTCGTTCGGCCTATTGTTGGATAGAAACACAAAAGAATAGAAGAAAGAGGGAGAGAGGGAGAGGAAAAAAAAGAAAGAGAATAAAAATGAAAGAAAAGAAAAAGAAAAAAAAAATCTGAACGATGTTAATTGATGGAAGAAAATTTTAAATAATCATTTCAACTGATCCACAGGTTGTTGAAGAATCACAAGTATTATAAATTATAATAGACTATCAATTAACAGAAATTAAGAAAATAAAAAAGAAAAAATAATCAACTGAAAAGTTAAGAAACTGTTGGAGAAGAAAAAAGGAAAAAGTAAACAAAAGGAGGGAGAGAAAAGGAGAGAGAGAGAGAGAGAGAGAGGGAGAGAGAGAAGAAAAAAAATATTCCTCTCTAGGATTTAAATAGAATAGAATGAAAATTATTGATGATGAACAGGATTCGTTGAAAGATTGTGATTGAAACAACAATTATTATATAAATTGTTAACCATTTCTCTCTTAAGATTGGAAAATTGGAAACTAATTATCATGGGATTAATTGGAAATGAACCTGTAATTGTTATTCCCGATCCTCCATCACCAATCTATGGTTCCGATCCATGGGATGATTATTTTGAATATTATGATAAAATCCGAGATGATGATGAATCTTTGCTCACCGAGACGAAGGGTTTTATTCAGGATAACATCTTAATCGTAGTGATTTCAATTGTCTTGACAATTGTTGCCTTTTGTTGTTGTTGTTATTTTTCAGTGTTCCTGATACTATTCAGTAAGTGATAAAGAACAACAAACTGAAAAGAAGAGGGAAACTCTTCCTGTGTCATGATTATAACCAAAAAAAAGAGAAAAGAATCAAGAAATTAAAAGCAACTTGAATGAGGCGCTTCCATTTTTTTCTCTTTCATTGGTTTTAAGCTTTCGATTGACAGAGAAATTTAAGGAGCTGTTGATTTAAATTGTTTGGCCAAACAGCACTTGACCTGAACATTGTTAATTTAGATTAATTTACTTTCTTAGAGCCGATTGGATGGTTTCGAGATTGGCGAGCTCAAGCTCTTAGGCAACTTGGGATTTCCCCGCCGGGACAATATGAACATCGAGGCAAATTGATCAAATACCAACCAACAGAGGAAGAGATTTTCTATTATGAAAAGATTAAAGGTGAATTAGCAAATGTCATCTAGTAATAACCAAAGTTTAGAACATCATTAATCATCATCATCATCATTAAATTAATAGAATTGCGATTGACTTTAATTCGCTTGGCCATCTAATAGATGGCGCAACAATAAGAATCATTGTTTATTGTTTTGAATTAGAAAGAAAAATTGAATTTAAATTTCAAATTGTCTTGAATTCAAATGTAATTAATTGAGATGAATGAAGATGTTGATAAAATTGTTAATGACTTAAAAGCTCGTGGTGTTTTCGACGAGTTCCGTAAAGAATGTCTTTCATCAGTTGATACAAGGGTAAGTGTTTCAATTATTGTTGATCTTTAATCATTTATTTTTCTGTCTCTTGTCTTTTTCTGTAGTTTGATTTTATTATCGTTTTAACTTTTAATTGATCATATTTTTTCTTGTTTTTTTCTCTTGATCACTTAGCCTGCTTTTGCTGGCCTTAGACATAAGATCGACATCACTTGCGAATCATTTCTTAAAGATCAAATCTGGAATCCAAATGCGAACAAGAATCAACTTCGTGATGGGTTGAGACAAAAACTTAAGTATGTTATTATTGGTCTTTTTTAATTTTATTTCTATTCTTTCATATTCTTGTCTTTACTTGACCTAATTCTATTTATTTCTATTTTCTTTTTTATCTCTGTTTAATCCATCATCAGCTCAGAAGGTCTTGGAAATACCATTGGTCACCTTGTGGATCAAGTTGTGGAGCTTAAAGCATCAACCTATATGTTAAGTAGGATAGATAAACATGTTCAAGATTATCTTGGAATTAAAATTGAAGAGCCATTGCTAAGGGTTGAAGATAATATCTTGGTTTGGCCTGAGAGCGAGAAAATTGAAGTCAAGAAGGAGGAAAATGACGGAAATGAGAAATGGAGTAAAGAAAATTGGAATGAGGTCAACAACACCACTACCACAGAGAATAAACCTAATCCTTCACTTTCTCCCTCGACTGTTTCATCCCATTCGCTGTCACCTCCAACACCGGAACCAATAACCGATGGTGGAAGTGAAGATTCATTTCCTCCTGCTCCAAGTCCAACTTCATTAATCTCTGGTGAAAATAGTAAATCATCACAACACTATTTTGATGAATCAACCTCAAAATCTCCCGAAAACAAGACCAAGAACGATATTTGGAATCAATTAAGCAAAGAGGGTAAACAAAGTGCTGATGAACCTAAACCAGAACCTTTAGATTGGGGTACAACTACATCGCCTCCTCCTGAACGTCCATTTGCTCACCTTGGATCATTTTCAGCTGATCTTACAAAACCAACAGGTACCAATGAAGCTTTACCACCAACTATTAAATCTGAACCTAAATCTCCTGAACTACTACCATCTTCATCATCATCTGTGCCACTTTTATCTAACAAATCAAAAGAAGAATCAAGAGAAGACAATTCTGAGATTGAAGAATCTAAAGGAAAATCTGATCCGATTGTTTCTGATATGTTATCCGATGTTAGTTCAGCGCATACAAGTGATTTATCAGATTTCGATGATGCAATGAGTATTTCTAGTGTTGAAGAGGCTGAAGATATGAAACAAGAGATGAATGATGTTGAAGGAAAGGTAGTACAAAGTGAGGTTAAAATCGATACTGAAATTAAGATTAAACGAGAAAATATATCAGCTTCTCAGGTTAATGAAGAAATTGAAACAATTAAAGTTGAAGACTCTGGTACAATTATTAAAGATCAGAAGCTAAATGAAGATGAAACCACAGAACATGTTAAACATCAAATGGAAGATCAAGTCGTAAATAAGGTGGCCGATAAGGTGATAGATGAGAATAAAAATCGGACACGAATCGAAACAAAGAAACGCAAAGAACCAGAAAAAGAACCAGATCCTTGGGGCGATGAAATGGTTCAAGTCAAACCAAAATTTGAGATAATCAAGTCAACACCCGAAGCTCCCGTTTTCGATATAAGAGCAAGAGGCAAAGAAGCGATTTGTTTGACTCCCGTGAAGGTGCTCGAAACACCATCAACAACGAAAACACCAATATCAACAAAAGAATTGAAATCAACTACAATCAAAAGCGAGAAAATATCGGATTCCAATGGAGATGAATTTGTGATTCCTAAGATAAAAAGAGAACCCAAATCGAGGGATCAATCACCACCTTCAGCATCCACAAGAACCGATCCACTTCCACCCCCACCATCAACATCATCGTCATTAATTACACCGAATTCATTCTCATCTCGAACCAATGAAGAATCAAGATCAAAACGTAACAGCAGAGATTCAATTAAAAAGAAGTAAGTTCGATTCTCTTGTACACGAAGCAACAAAACAATCAACTAATTTATTCTCAATCTTTTTTAATTAGAAGTGATTTATCGAGCTCTCAAAGGTATGATGAAGCTGATCTTTACAAACCACGACCTTCAATTCCAGGATCTCGGAGACATCGATCATCTAAATAACTTTTTATATTGATGTAAAATGTTAATCTGTTATGAGAAAACAAAATTGATTAGTAATTGAAAAAATAATCCACAAACAGGTGGTTCAAATTTTTGATGATTTTTATTTATCAATCAATAAACTGGATCATTTCCACTGATTGTCGAAATACAAATTTGAAATTAATTCATCTTCGGTATCGATACCGTTTAAAATGGAACCATAACTGGAGAATGTTGTTGATGAATTGACATCGGAAGCCACTTTTATGGGAATAATTCCATTCTCGATTGACGATCTTGAAGGCGATATCTTCATATGGTGGACCAGCTTTAAAACGAATGATGGCAAAATCTTTGTTGTCCTGACAAGTGGTCAATGTGTAGGTCGGTGCTTGACCTTTGTTGATGAGATCCGGATAAAATATATTAAATTTGTATCCTTGGACAATTTTGGGAGGTGGATTGTCGATGTCGTAGTGGGTTTGGTTATACTTGTTCCACTCGAAACCAGTGTGAACTCTATTGAAAAATCTCGGTTTTCGAGGCCGATACTTTTCGCACCAAGATGAGATCCCTGGATCTTGGATGGTGGTTTCTTCAATCCTAAGGATACCTTCATTTGTTGGTTCGATGAATGAAGATGATTGTGAAACAAATCGACGGGCACGTTCAAGGTCATAAAAATCGTCGACTGGATTGACGATTAAATTGGAATCAAGGTCAAATCCACTTGACAATTCCGGGGAATAGCCATTCTCCATATAATCTTTGTCACAAGATTCAGCAGAAATGGAATCATCATCGACATCTTTTTCACTTTGGTCACCTTCATCTTGAAGATGATTTGTCTTCATTTTCACCATTAATTGTTGGTGTTTTTCGTGAAGACGAGCTCGTGCCATCATCGATTGGAGCTTTTCCAAAAGAGATTCCCAATATGTTATGTCAATCACACCACGATCATTGTCCATTTTTTTTTTAATTGATATTTCCAAGCTTGCAAGCTGCTCAGGTGTTTTATTATCAATGATTTTGTGTGCATCGGCAGCAACGGTTGGATGAATACCTGTTGATGATGAATGAAGTTTTTTTATTTCGGTATTTACAATGATCTCCAGATCGGTCCAATATTGGAGATTCTCGTTGTCAAATTTTTTGTAGAGGTTGATGTCACCTTTAAGATCTTGCAAATCAAACAATCTCAAACCATTGAGCAAATTAAATGGTTCGATCAAATTTCGACCACCTTGTCCATCATTTGACGCGTTGATGTAATCCACTAAGAGATCAATTGTTTTTGGTCGACCTTCTTTTAACCGGACACCTGATCGGAGATTTGCTTGTTTGAATACAAATTGGTCTTCATTATCATTGTAGCTTCTGAATTTTGAAGCCTCAGCATCTCTTTGTTTGTCCTCCATTTCGGTGGCTCTTTTCTCTCTCTCTCTTTCTCGCTCCTCACGATTTTTTTTCATTTTTTTTAATTCATTCAATTTACTCTCATTCATTTTTTTGTTACCAGGACATTTTTTACCCCATACAAGTGGTTGTAGTAGTTGCGAGTCACCAAATGGGTTGTTATCGTTACTGTAACCCATAGTCTTGTAAAGAATTTTTTCACTTTTGGAATTTAACATTTTTCACAATTACAGAGAAAAAAATTAAACAAAATAATCAAAAATAATCAAAAATAAACAAGTGGTTGTTGATTGAAAATGTAAACAAATGAGAAATTTGTCTCGATGGAGACAAGAAAAGCGAAATGGCACATGAGCAGAAAGAATTTATCATCTTCCTGCTGGAACATTAACTATTTAACACACTTAATCCACTTTAATCCAAGTCGAAGGATTAAATCAAAAGGATAAAACTTGACGATATGATCGCGGAAAAAGAGTTGAGGGTTAAGTTGTTTAAAAGTTTTATCATCAAGAAATATTAAAGAGATTAATATAAATAGATTAAGTGAATTGAAGCTAAAAACCACCTGCAGGGAAGCGAAAAATTAAACGTAAATTTTTACACATTGGCGATAATTATTTCACTTGTTGATCCATCACCGGGTTGACTTTTGTTTTGATCGCCACTGTTTCCATCGTTATTATTTGGACCTTTCGGTGCTGATGGATTGGGTGGTGGACATGAACTAATCAGTGTCATCTTCCGATAATTCGTGAAATGAATATTGTATTGAGAAATGGTATCAACCGGAGTGCAGACATCAGTCATTCGGTTCTGTGGGAAAGAAAAGACAAAAACTAAAAGTTACTCCATTTCTTTCTGATTCTGGATTACGAAGAAAACTGATTGTTGTTTTTTCTTCGAGTCATTGTATTCGATGATCAGTCATCTTCTAAATACCTTGTAATATGGAGGAGGTTCTTTAGGAACTCTCATGAATGTTTTAATGAATTCTTTCAATAGATCCCAACAGTAAATGGGAACAGAACAGGGTCCATACTCTATCTCAACAAGAATCCCTCTGAAAGAGGGGCCAATAGAAACAGATCCAATTCTAACGATGAAATCACCTTTCTGGAATTTGGGTCCTTTACATTCAATCTTATTCCCTCTCTTGGCTTGATAAACACCATTCATGACAACCATCATGGCGTCGAAATATGAATCAGCTCTCAAAATGGTTCCAGTATCAAGTTGAGCAAAACAGGTGGCAGGATATTCGGAATTGTGGATAATGTTCAATACTCTGGGTGGATTGATGATTGGTGCTGAATAATACGTTTCACAGTCAACGACAAAGTTACCAACACGTTGGAATTGCATCGATTCAAATTGTTTAATTAAACGATCAACAATTTCTTGACCACTTTTACCTTCAGGTATTGGAAATTGACTCACAATCACAACCATTATTTCAAAATGGAACCAACACAAGTCAAGATTATAATTCCAATTCTATCAACTAAACACCAAACAGGTTAACATGAAGAAACAAAATTAGAAAAAGACAATCAAATTAATCTAATTAATTTAATTATAAACAATCTAACATCAACAATCAATCAATCAACATTTTCGCCGGTAAATAAATAAAAACAACAGAGAACAAGAAATTAGAACAGGGTCTCCATCTATTGGCATTAGATTCTATTTTCTTTTCCTCTAATACCAGAAGAGAAAATTAGTTTTTTAATTGTCGATCAATACTATTGAAGAGAAATGAAAAAAGAGACATTGAAAAGGGCTAAAAAAGATATTAAAAAGGAGATGAACTGATTGCTACTCGTCGTTAAATTACTGATAAATTGAGAAGATTAATCAGGGGAATTACAGAGATCAACCAATGGAAACACCAACATCTCGGCCGTAATTGAATCGGTTGCGATTAACACCGACCCGAACCAGACCACCGAGCACATCGATTCCAAGTCCAGATCCATATTCGCCGTTCCCATTGTTCATGTTGAAAATTCCGCTGAGAAAAAGGATCAACAATAAAACCAACAATTAGTGGATCAAATGAAACAATTTAGTTGAGAAAACACAAAAAAGTTTAGTTTCTCGATGGATGAAAAAATCTAAATGAAAATCAACGATCAATTAATTGAAGATGAAAGAAGGAAAAGAAATAAAGACTGAACAACAATTAGAACTTACGGAATATTAACTCCGACATTTTGTGGACGTGAAGTGATTTCATTTAATGTAATTGTTACAATTAAAAGGACAAAAATAATTAAAGATGAGCAAACTTTCATATTTGTTGATTTGTTTTTTTCTTGTCTTGTTGATCAGATTAATAGATAAACAGTAACAGTGATGATGATGATTAAACAATTGACACTTTTCGAAATGCTAATGTTTCCACAATCAAGTTAAATTGTAAACTAAAAACAAAGATTTATGATTTTTAAGATTAGAGGAAAAACTTTCAGTTGTTTGGATTTTGAAAAAAGTTGTTTATTTGTTCAAAATAACAATTTAAACCAGAAAATAAACCAATCATAATGATTATCCGATAATCTGCAAAACTTTTCTGCTTAACGAAAAACCTGTTATGAAAAAAGAAATTTATAAGCATCTAAAAAGTAATCCAAAAAACATGAATAACATGTGGCAAACACATTAATAAACAAAGAAATCCGAGAAAAAGATGAAACAAATTGAAAGCTAAATTAAAAGTGAAATTAATCTTATAATTTTAATGATTCATATGATGATTTGGGTTAGGTTTTTCAAAAAACAAAGTAAATATGTTGTAAGGTTCGACAAAATTTCGACCACCTTGTTTCTCGTGAAGACGAGCTCGTGCCATAATTGATTGGACCTTTTCCAAAAGAGATTCCCAATAGGTGATGTCAACCACACCAGCATCATTGTCCAGTTTTTTAATTTCTATTTGTAAACGGCCAAGTTGCTCAGGTGTTTTACCATCAAGGATTTTGTGTGGCAGCAACGGTTGGATGAATACCTGTTGAAGATGATGACAGGAAAAGTTTTTTCCTGGAGGAGAGGAAGTGGATTGTCACCAAATGGGTTATCATCATTACTGTAACCCATTTTTAACAAGGTAAAAGAAAAAATCACCAAACAAAGAAAAAAAACAGTAATCAAAAAACAAGTGGTTGTTGACTGAAAATGTAAACAAATGAGAAATTTATATGGACCAATCACAGCTGAAATTTGAAATAAAAAAGCTAAATATTTATGATATTTTAACAAAATTTTAACTATTACATCACTCAGTTTATTGCATTAAAACAGTAATGTAGGATCTAAAAAAGCAATAAAACTTTTAAAAATCTATTCATTAGTAAAGAGGTTACTGTGGAGACCATAATTAGATAGCTAACCAATGAATCATAAAAATTGAAAAACTAATTTAACAGATGGTAATCAGTTTGATAAAAAGAAAAAATTACAAGAGATGGAGACACAAGGGCAATAGTTTCAAGTTAAGTTGAAGATGAAAGAAGGAAGAGAAATAAAGACTAAACAACAATTAGTACTTGCGGAATATTAACTCCTTGATCAGATTAAAGCTACGCAATGATGATGATGGTGATGATTAAACAATCGACACATTCTGAGGAGCTAATGTTTACATAATCAAGTTAAATTGTAAACAAAAAACAAAGATTTATCAATTGACATTCAAGTGAATGTCGTTAGATTAAAAAACAACAATCAGCGGAGTCACTAATTTAAATTGCTTTTCACCTTTAACAATCTTATTGATTATTTGTGGACTAATTTACAAATGTATTAATATATGAATTAGATTATAATTCGTTGATGAACAATTAGATGGACAAGTCAATTGTGTTGATTGTTTGCATCGACAATCATTGGTTAATTTCTAGGAATGGGCGAGGTTTTGTTTTCCATTTGTTAATTGCTTGTTCTCATCCTCATCACCAAACCCATTTTCTCACTAAAAAGACTAGTATTTAACCGAAGGGCAAATGAATCTTAAGAAAACAGAATTAGAATCAGCTAAGAAATTGACCAGCAAAGGTCACTTTAATTTTCGTTTCAAAACAATCAACACTTTTACTATTAAATTTCTTTGTGAGTTAAATTTCCTTCCAATCTCATTAGTTAATCGAATGAACAAAAAATGAATAATTTTCTCATTTCAGTTCTAATATTGACTTGGAGTGTTTTGTTCAATTCAGCTGATCCAATTCTCCGATTTCGACGACAATCATTTGATCCAGTGGCCGTTTCATCCTCTTCTTCTGATAGCAATGGGTCAGGTTCGAGCTTTGGACCATTCGGTATTCCATGGTTCGGACCAATGCCCTTCCATTTACCATTGATGAACATTCCAGCTCCTCCGAATCACGATCAATTAAGACAAAAAGTTAACGATTATATCTCAGGTAAGAGTGGTTTAAACTATCCTTTTCTTAATCATTTCGATAGATTAATCTAATTGTTATTCTTGAATTATAAATTTAACTGATGATTAGATGCGACCAAACAGATTCAATATCAACCCTTGGCCGATCATATTAGTCAACAATCAGCTAATTGTACCACGAGCAAGAATGAAACTGTCGATGTAAATGGAATGAAAATCAACAAAATAACTAAAACTTGTACTTCCAATGGATCAAACTCAATTGTAAGCAATTAGATTTGATCATCTAATCAACGCTTCATGAAGAAGAAATAATTTCCAATCATATGCTAAGACAATTAACCAATTGTGATCATTTCTTTTTCCAGATTACCTCAGTTTCTTCATCCTCTGTACCTGTTTGAACGATAAAAGGCTGACCACGGAATCGGAATCCATCATTTTAATGACTTAATTAACTTAATTTTTCCAAAATTCTAAACTAATTAACTTAATCAAAATAAAGAAAAATTTTGGCAAAGAAAAAAATGAATTAAAACTCCAACAGGTGGCGCTAGTAACTTCGTATTCTAGTTAAATCAAAGTCTTTGGAGACTTGCTGTAAAAAGCATAATAATAAAAAGACAATTAAAATTAACTTGGAATCTAATTAAAGCGTAAACAAGATGAGAAAAATACTTAAACAATAAGTTAATTGCTCATTGTCAACTCCAAACTAAGGTAATATGACAATTTAACTAACGAGCAACAATTTATCATGAAGATAATCAATGAAAAACCAAATCGATTAAAGTAAACAAATTACAATTGAAAATAAGCAATTAATTGTAATGATTGGTTGACGATCACTGGTTGATTAAATGTCTCGAGGCAAAGTAAATTGATTAAAAGATGTGAAAAGTTAATTGTCTTGGCAAAGGAGTTAATCAAATTGTAAGAAACAAATTAAATTGCTCATCCCAAGTTAACTAATTACAGGTTAAATCACTAATTACCGAAAAATTTAAACCTTTCGAAAATTAAAAACAATCATAAGTAAAGAGTTGAAAGGTTGATTGTTACCAGAAAACAAAATCAAAACGCTAACAATTAACAACCATCATCATAATCAAGTTAATCACGGAATCAGTTGTTAACGGGTTATCGTTAACTAATTAACTACAATCAGGATCTTTACAGAAACGATTGACTGAAAAATAATCAAGATAATTACAATTGATTGAAGGTTTCAATTGTGATGATTAAGTTAATAATTAAGGAAGTTAATTGCAAATTAAAACAATTTAAAATAAACGAAACAATCAAATAAACTAATCATTGATTTTTATACATATATGTATAATCATAACTTTTTGTGAAACAATATATTTGAAGCAACTAAATTAAACCAGTTTTATTTTATTTGATTAACTTAAATTGTGTACTAAGACAATTTAATAAGCAACAATTAGTGAATTGAACAAACAAACAAATCTACATGTAATTGTTGATTAAATATCAACAAACACAAAAGTGATGATTAAGTTTCATATTTCTCATGATTCTGAGAAAAACTTTTCTCTAATCATGAAAATTGAGTGTTAATTAAGTTATCTAATTAAGGGTTACAATTAATTGTTCGATGTTTTCGCAACAATTTAGACTTAATTTAGCTCCTAAAGTTTTTGTCTCTTTTACATTGAGACCGAAACTTGAGTTACAACTTTTCATCAACTTCTCATATTTTCATCATCTTAATCATCATCAACAATTAACATTGAATAACCTTTCTCTCACTCTCTCAATTGCAATCAAATTAATTGCTTCTGTCACCATTAATTAGGTTCATTCGTTGTCATCAGTGTTGATATTTAATCATCATTAAAAATTGAGATATGTAATTATAACCATTGATACTTTTTTCAGGGTTGATGACAAAAGACGTTGCAAATTTAATTTAACAATTTAACTGAATCAACTGTTAAACCTTTTAATTATAATTAACATTGAGAATTTTAATTACAGTGAAATTAAAATTCATCAAGAAAAAGCAAAAAGATAAATAAAAACAATGACCACAAAAAGTTTCATCGTTTTGGTCAAAAGTTTTCATCCTAATCCTAATCATCATCAGATGATTTATTAATTCACTCACCTCACTTATATAATATTAATTATCATCTTCTCATCCTGTTTGATTTTCTCATCATCATAATCTAATTGTAACTAACAATTAACTAGTTTTATATTCAAAAGTGTAACAAGTAAAAAAAAGTTATTACGATAATAATGATAATCGAGTCAAGGAAAAAGTTTTCACCAAAGCTAACAAATTAATCTCAGGATTCAGATTGAAACTAATTTATAGAGGATTTAGATTGAGATGGATATTGATTAGAAGGCGATTAATTAATTGATCGTGATGAGGATGATAAATGATTGGACATTTATTCACAAAACTATTCCCCTGACAAACGAATGTAATAAACAAGCAAACAAAATGTTTACTAAATGTGAAGAAGAGGAAAAAAAATATCAAAGGGAAAATGTTTTGTTGTTATTTGTTAAATGAATGATGATTAACGATAATTGTTTAAGATGATAAAAGGATGAGGATGGAGAAGATACAAAAAGTGAACAGGTAAAGATCATTAAGGTTCTAATAATGATTGGAAAAGAACAACGAAAAAGAAACAAAGACAAAGAAGATGAAGTGATAAATCATCTTGTTACCTTTTCGTCCTCAAAGGATACTAATAACATGGGCTCATCGTCATCATCATTATCTTCATCTTCATCTTCATCTTGAACTCATTATACTTTTAGCGATATGATGATGATTATCATCTTCATCTCGATCATCATTTGAAAAGCATCAACCTTAACACAGACACTTAACCAGAATAACAATTAACTGATTCACTAATCTAATTATTATTCAATATTAATCATTACCATTCATAACCAGGTATCTTAATTAAGATTCACCTCAAGTTTATCTAATTGTGATTAACTCATTTCAACTAATCTAATAATATTAATCAATTGAGACTATCAAGTTTTTCCTTCTGTACTTTTTTTTGCTCACCAAAAAATCAAACTTCATGAATTGTTGTTAAATTGTTGCGATGATGATTATGATTACTGATTGCTGTTAATTCTTGGCCAACCATTTGCGTGGTTGGTTAATCATTATCATCATCTTCATATAGCCTGTAGCAATTATAATTAATAACGTTTAAAATTAGTTAACACCAACAATATAAAAAAAAAGTTTTGTTAAAATAAAAAACGAGAATCAAATCGTTTAATCATAAATCATTTTTACTCTGTTGCAATTTAGTTGATTTTTGATTACCTTTGATTGTTTATTATCCAGGGTAATAAAGCTGACTGATTATTAATGTCAAATAAATTGTGATTAACATGAATGAAACATTAACATTGGTTTTTTTTTACTTTAAACAAATCAAATCAATTGGAATCAAAGTTAAACAATTAAAAACCAAGAATATAAATTATCATCTCATTTCTGGTTCTGGTTTTTGGGTTCTTGGTTTTTAATCATCAACAATTAAGTAAACGGGTTAAAGGATGATTAAAATGATGAGACTTTTATTATCATCATCTTCTTCATCATTATGTATTATTATACCTCCCAAATTGCTAATTATTCATCATTAATTGTTAATGATTAACGTTGATTATTAATTTAAATTTGTTGCCTTGAGAAAACAAATAATTATAATTGTAAAGAAAAGGGAAAAAAATTTTCTGTACTTTTTAAATCAATTTAATTTACTTTGATCACAATCAACTTATTTTCACAATTATGTTGATCATTAATTCAATTGATTGTTTGTTGTTAATTACTGTAATTTGAATTGATTTTAACAACATAAACAAAAATTAACCTTAAAATTGATGAGATTTGGGAATCAATTTTTGATTAATGATTTAGTTGATTGTAAATGATTAAATTTAATGATGATGATGAGTAGGTGGTATTATTATTAAAGGTTGGGTGAACCACCACCCATTGATTAGCTGATTAATTACAATTAATTTGCAATAAACAAAAGGAGAGTCAATTTGTTTAATCAACAATTTAAATCTATTAAGTTAATTCCAGTGGGCAGTTAATCAAATTTCATGTTAAACTTTTTCTTGTTAAATTGTTGATAATCAAAAGGTTGTAGTGTTAATTTAAAAATCATAATGATACTAAATGATGTTGATAATTAATTCAGTGATTAACACACAACAACAATAATAACAAACCTAAATTGGCAATGATTTAAGATGATTATCAGATTTTTCTCAGCGTCTAATTAATTAACAATTAACAGAGTAGAATATTCAATTGTCTCACCCATTAAATATGAATAATAATCAAAAAATTAATCAACCAACAAGGGGAACAATTAACGCGCTTCAAGTTGATTAGTTATTACAAATTCAGGTCTCAACAAGAATGAGACTGAAAATGTGAATGAAAATTGATTGTGATTGCAAATAATAATTAACGGGAAATCAAAACAAGATACAAATGATTATAATGATGATTAATTAGATTTGATTGTTAATTAAAATGAAAGAACCTCAGCCAACCAACACAATTAAATGTAATACTAGAAAATACAACAGGCTGTAAATGCGAAAACAAGTCAATGGGAAATTGAAGAGAAGGAAGAAAAAAAAAGTTGCCATTTTTTTATGTTCCTTTGTTTTTCTCAGATTTAAAGATGAGAGAGAGAGGAAGATGAAGATGAAGAAGATGATGATGAAGAAAAGTAAACAATTTAAATGGATTGTTGCTAATTAAAGAGGCTCCCAAGTAAAATTAAAGCCCAAATTATGGGCACCGCGGTTGTAGTTAAATTACCTCTAATAACCCCGAAGGAAAGAGGAAACTCAGAGAGAGAGAGAGAGAGAGAGAGAGATGATGATGATGATGATGATAAGAGACTCCAGGTAAGCAGAGACCAAGGTGAAAAAGATGATAAGATGATGATAATGGTGAAGAGGAAGACAAAAAGGAGGAGCAAAAGTAACACAGTGTAACAAAATCGGGATCATGATGAGCAGGAAAAAGTAACATGGAGAAATGAAGATGAGATGAAGATAAGAAGAGAGAGAGAGAGAGAGGAAAAAGAAAGTGAAACAGATGATGATGATAATGATGATTAATATGATGGTGATAACGATGAGAGAGTGAGGCAAAGATGATGGTCAGTTATCAGTAATTTCAATGTCCAAGTACAATGTTACCTTGACAAAAGTTTCTTGTCTCTCCTTATACTTTTTTTTTATCATTAGACTTACAATTTATTTTAATTGATTAAGTAATTGTTGTAATTGAATTGTAACCAGTTGATTAACCTCTGTTAATTGTTAGTGAATCAGTGAATGAGTGTCTTGTGTGTGGTTCAAATTAACTAACCGGCAAATTTGTAGCTTCAATAGGTTTTGACCAGTGGTCAATAATACAATATAATCATTTCCAAAGTAGTTATTACTTGTTAATCATTAATTTGATAATTTGAAAGATGATGATGATAAATGATTTTGAACAATTAGTTAATTGGTAGTAGAGTTTTTTTCCCTTGCCTCGCTATTTAATATATTTGTATGTTCACAAGCATCATCATGAATATCATCTTGATCCTCATCTTCATTTTCACCATCAACCTGAATTTAAATCATCTGATTATTATTATTATTATTTAGATTTTATGTTAATCAAGATAAACTAACTAACAATATATTAACTTTAACAATCAAGGTGAGATGTTTTTTTAATATTATCTCAAAGTTTCAGGATTATTTGAACAAAATCTTAAGCATCATCATCATCTTGCTCATCCTTTTTTTTCATCCTCATCATTTCAGCTCATTTTTATTCACTGTAAGGAAAAAAATCTAACATGAAAATAAATTGACTAAAAGTCACAAAATGATGAAGAGGAAATCATCAATTGTTTGTCTTCATCATCACATCTTATTCATCCTCATCATTCACATCATCATAATCGTCATCATCTTCAATTTATATTTAAAATGAATCAATTTAAATTGACAATAAGATATATTAATAGTTTCAAATGATTCAATTCAGAAATTCAGATGAAAAATAAATCAAAGTTTCAATGATCAAATGATGAGGATGAAGATGAAGATGAAGATGAAGATGAAGATGAGGATGAGGATGAGGATGAGGATGAGGATGAGGATGAGGATGAGGATGACCAGTGTTTCGTATGAAAATGATTTAGATTCACTTAGGATCTGAAACAAAAGTAATTGAAAAGTTGACATTATTATTGAAATTGACTTTGACTGATGATGATTATCATCTTAAACTGTTACCTCTTAGCATCCTCATCACTTCATCATCATTTTTCATCATCTTCACTCTTAATGGACTCTCAACTTAAACATTATGTCAACACTCAAATTCAATCAGTTGAAAAGTTAATTTAGTTACGAGAAAATTATGAATCTGGAAACAATTTAAATCTATTAAAAGATTTACAATAAATTATTTACGATGAGAAAACAGTTTTAGTTTTTTCAATTGTTTTAATTATCATCATCATGATGATCAAGTATCGATAATCAATCAAATGATTTAATCAAAGGGTATCAATTAACGTAATCAAGTTAATTAATCGTTTCTAATGGTTACTATTAACTTGACCGCTCCTTTTTTACCATTTGAATGATGATCATCAGGATGATTAGTTAAATTATCCCAACAATTAAATAGAAATCAAAGTTAATGATTAACTTACAATTGGATTTGTTAAAAAAATCAAGGTGAGGTTCAAATGATTAACAATTTTTTTCACCTTTAATTGTTACAATTAGTCTAGAGAATATTTTTCAATACAATCAATTCAATCATTACAATTAATAAATTGGTTCTATTGGTGATCTATTGATTGTTATGATATTTTTAATGTTAATTGTTTGCTGATTGTTATTAATGGAAAACAAAAATAAATATTAAATTAGTTTCATTTGATTGTGATCACGTAAATAAAGATATGATTAACTAAATCATCTGGCAATTTGTTTTTTCATCATTACTATTAATTGTATCGTAAATGTTATTGTTATGATTAAGTTAATTGTCATCGATGAAAATATCAAAGATGTGACTTTAGTTACTATTAGTTAATTGATTGTCCAATTTATTTTATACTCTTAATTGTTTACTTATAAACTGATTACCATTGACGTAATACTAAATTATGAATATTCATTTTGCGATTAAAATTAAATTGATTAGTTTTCTTATCAACAATTTAACATTCACTCTCAAAATTCATCAATTAAAGTTAATTGTTGTTGGGAAATATTTTTTCACTAATTCCTTGGATATGATAAATTGTTATTAGATCAACAAAGTGAACAAAACATGAACACAATTAAATAATCGGCTTAAATTAATTGTTGTTGTTTTATAAAAACCTGACTTATCTATGATCAATTGAATTATGGAAGTTAATTGTTTGAGGTTACTATTAATAGATTGCTGGGTGAGAATTTAAATTTTTTTAATCCACAATTAAGTATATAAGAGTGAGAGTTAAATTGTTTCAAGTTAATTTGGTTAGCTGAGGTTTCGGTGGTAAGATAATTGTTATATTGTTTTGCTCGAGTGTTAATCTAGTCATTATTTGGTGTTAATTGTGATTGTTGATTAATTGTTGAATTGTAATTCTTTATCATGGTTAATTGTTCAAAGTTTTTCTTTTTGATGACAATTTACGCAAGTTACGCCATTTTGTTGGCTCAAAGTGAAGATCAGTCAAGACGTTTAGAGCGATCTTTGAATCGACGAGGTGACCTTGTTGATCGTCGGGAGCGATTTAGTGATGATCATCGAGTGGGAGATAAACTTAGATTATCATCATCATTAGAAAGTGACACTAGTGTTAATCAACGATTAAGAGAGGATCGTCTTCGAGTTGATGAATTAAGTCGAGATGTAGATCGACGATTAGAAAGTGAATCAGTGAACCGTCGAGTTGAAGAAAATCGTATTCGAGATGAGCGTTTAGATCGTTATGAAAGAACCGAAGAGGAAGATAATCGAAGAGATCGAAGTGATCGACGAGTTGAAGATCGAAGTGAAAGGTCAAATGATCGAGTAGAATTACGGAGAGAAGAAAATCGTCGAACTGTTGATGATCGTGTTCGAGAAATTTCACCAGAGCAAAGGAGAGAAGTTCAAGTTCGAGATGAGGTTAGAACTACTGATCGGGTTCAAGATCGAATTGACTCTCGACGTGAAGAGGAACGAATCAGAAGTGACCGAACAATTGATCGACAAAATAAACGAGAAGAGGTCAACCCTATGGACGAAAGACGGAGGTCAAATGACGGAGAAGATCAAGTTGAACGAAGATCAATCGAAATTGAAACCAGTAAGTTGATACGACGATCGAGGGACAATCGATCAGAGGATAAACAATCAGATGAGAAAACAATTAATCCACCAAGTGAATCACAACAATTAACCAACATTTTAGGTCAATTGGTTGGTTTAATTGTCTCAATCGTTTTGATTAACAGTCCAACCAAAGGTGGTTATGTTAGTAAAGTGAAACAATTATTCACAATTAACGAGGTAACAATTTAATTGACTAATTGAACACAAAATCAAAATTAATTTCTTTTCCTTTTAATTATTGACAACGATTGTTAATTGATTATTTTTTCCCTTATACCAAAATCTATAAGTAAATTGTAATTTAATTGTGTTTATTTTCTTTTAACTTGATTAACTTCACTATAATTAACCAATTGTGTCCATGTATGATTTTCATTATTTAGTTAATTAGTTAATAAAATCTGACATTTCATTCACTAAGCACAATCAATGAGTTTTTTTATACTTTTTCATTTTTGATTGTAAAGGTTAATCAACTAATCATATTAGTTAATATGGTTGAAGATGTTAATTGTTACATATTAAATAGATTTAGATATTTGATTTGATTACTTACTTACTTAGAGAATCGATGATTTAATTTATTTGAGTTGATCAAAAGTCCATTAGGAAAGGTTATCGGTAATTGTTGATAATTTGTTGATTATGATGATTTAGTGATTAAATTAACCATTGGTGCGATTCAATTGATTATTAAATAAAGTTAATGATGATGATAATGGTGATAATAATAATAGTGATAATTGTTTAACCATTTAAATTTTTCATTTGTAACCAATTTTCTTGATTGTTTAAGTTTTGTTTGTCTTGATTTAATTGTTGTTTTGTTGTACCTACTATTGCAATTAAGTTAATTATTGAAGCTATTAAAAGTTGCTGACAAAAAGTCAATCAACTGATGATCATCTTCATCTTCATCCTTGTCTCCCTTTTTTTCTTGCTGGTGATGAGATTACAATTGTAAATCATTTGTATTCAATTGTTAATTTCATTAAGATTTTGTTTCGTGTGTGTGTAATTGTTGTTTCAAATTGTCATCAATTTGTCATTGTCAACCTTTAATTAGATGAAGTAAATCGGTTGATTGGAAAAGCAGAAAAACTTGTTAGTGTTGTGTTGATTACCACCAATGTTAAATGATCATCATTATCAATAGGATCAGTATCAGGATCAATTTCTGGAATTAGGGTGAAGTACATGGTGATTTAATTGTGATTGAGCATTTAAAGAATTAAGAAGAGGATAAGAAGAAGAAGAAGATAAAAGATGAAATTTGAGATGTCATTTGATTCTTTTGTTTTGTCATCCCAATCATGTCTTTTTCTTTGATGATGATTAAAAACACATCCAGAATAACAATCAATTTAAATGATCTTTTGTGTATGTTTGATATATATAATATAAATGGACAAGGTTTAAGGGTCAATTGTTTCTTTGATTGAGTAAACTTTGGATCCGGTCAATTGGGTGGCTTGTTGAATTCACATATTGTGTAAAAACAGGTTAATGTTGATTCATCACCATCAGAAGATGGGGTAGGAAATAGGAAGATATATCATCATGAATCTAAAAGAGAAGAGAGAAAAGAGAGAAAAAGTTATCATGAGTTGACTGATAAATTAACTTTACATTTACTATTACAGAGGAAAGGACATTGAAGTGAATGAATGTTGTTACTTGTTTTTGGTGGCATCTCATTGACAAAGAGTCTGGTTGATTTATATTAAAGAGAGAGGAGGTGGAAGAAGATGAAGAAAACAAAAAGGATGATAAAGAGAAAGAGAAAAAGATAAATATGAGAGGATGAAGAGAAAAAGAGAGAGAGAGAGAGAGAATAGGAAGTTAGTTGAATAATTCATGATACCAATGGGATTGAATAGTATCATCACATTGGAATCAATTAACTTTCCATTAACCATCTTTTTTTTTGCTTCTCCATTTTCATCTTCATCGCTATAGTAGTCATCATCATTATCATCATTTTCTTTTAGATCAACCATATTTATTGTTTACCTTATTCTTATCCAATCTTATATAGAAAGAAGAAGATGTTGGTGATGATGAAGAGGAAGAAGAAGAAGAAGAAGACGAGGAAGAGGAAAGACTTTGCTTTGTCACTTTTATCTTTCTTTCTCTCTATCGGTGTATAATAATAGTGTTAGTTATTTACTTCATCTTCTTCCTTCGTAAGACATAAACATCATCGAAATATCTTTTTCTTTTGAATTAAACATTCTCTTTTTTCTATCATTCCTTTTCACAAGTGAGAGAACAAATGAAGAAGAGATGAAAAGAGAGAAGTAAACGTTTTATGTCATCACTATCTTCCAAAATGATGATAATAAATTGAAATCATTTTAAAGAACCAATCTTGAACTAAAAAGAAGACAAGATGAAGGAGCAACACACCATCCAAAAGAGGTTTACCAAGTGAGATGTGACTTTCTTTTCCCATCATTTGACAAAATCATCATCACCATCATTATCCCCATTAACACCATTATCATCCCATCAAAGGGTAAAACCAACACACACATAGAGGAAAAAGTGAACAGGGAGAAAAAGATAAACCAAATTCACCAGTAGACTCAAAGAATCACCACCACCATTACCACTATTTACACCACCATCACACCGAAAGAAAATCAACCCAAATGATCTAAACACATACAAATATAATGAGGAGAAAAAGGAAAAGTACAGAAAAATCATTTCAAAGAGGAAAACAAGATTAACATAAACAATAAAAAAAAATGGCGAAGGATCAAAAAAGGATAAGCGACCTTCAAATGCCAAGGAAACAAAAAAAAATGATTAATCAATCTCGATGAAAACACTTACCAAAAGAACGAGTCTCGTAATAAACAGAGACGACAGATGGATAGTAAAACATTTTAATCCAAGTGCCAATTGGAAAGAATAAATAAATAAATAAAAACAAACAGATTAATTAACTAAGATTAATTAAAAAGGATTAAAATGAAAACAAAGATTATCAAAGTAAAAATAATTTTAGAATAGAAAAAAAGAAACTATAAATTCCAACAGGTGGCGCTACTGATGAGGAATTTTGATTCAATTGAATTATGTTAACAACCTGTTCATTTGTGATATTTAGTTGATTGTTTGTTTCTTGAATAACTATTATTACCTAACTAAGGTTGTCAATTGTTGATAATTAAATTAACATCAGGTAAACTAATGGTTTCAAGTGTGTGTACTTATCTTTTTGTTTCCCGTACGTTGGTTTTTAGCAGCAAAAATTTACTGTTTACTAATGATCTGTATTAAGTATAATTATCACATGTACAAGATTATTACGTAGTAACAGTTTCTTTTTTTTTTGTTTTCTTTTTGTATCTCCTTCTTTTTTGTATTATTATTACAATATTAGAAAAAGAAGAAGATAAATGAATACATATAAATATTCAATTTAATTAGTTTAATCCATGTTTAAATTTCTATTCTCTTTCAACAGTTACCTTGGTAAGAAGATGATGGAAGAAAAAAAAAATGGAAGCGACATTTTCATGGCTCACTGATTGGTTATGTTTTCTTTTTCTTCATTTCTTCTCTCATTTCTCTTATGCTTTTTTTCTGATATTCTTTTTACTTTTCTTCTCTAGTGCAATGTGAACAGCCAGGATGACGATGATGATGATGATGATGATGATGATGAGGGTATTAATGACAATAACAACACTTGGATATTCCGACAATTATACTACCGCCGATGAGAAATATCAATGATGATGAAGAGGAGGAGGAAAAAGATGAGAGTAAAGATACTAAGTGAAACAAGAAAGACGAAAACTCATATAATATAAAGTGGATATAATATGAAGTTTTTAACAATAAAATGGTTTTACTCAATGAAGCAAAGCTAAAAACAGTAAACTTTTTACAACTAAAGAAGGAGAAAAGCATGATGATGGTTTACAAACGGTTGATGGTAAAATAAAAATGGTTACAAATATAAAAATTGGTAAGAAAAAAATAGACCAACACATAAATATCTATACTTTCGGAAGAAACCAAAAGAAAAAGGAAAAGGAAAGAGTAACATGGAATCAAGGAAAGAGAATCATGATCACCATCACCAACCAAAGGAGGAGAATCAATGGAATATAAGGAACAAGGATAAAAAAAGCTTCTTTCCAATGTAAATCCAATGTGGTTAAAGACAAGGAAAGGATGAAGATAGAAAAAGAGACAAGAGAGAAAAAGATAAAATTGGAAACAAAAGAGAACCAACAAAATGATAATGATGTTCATCATCATCATCATCAACATAAAAGATAGAAAGGTAATAGTAAACACCAAACACATTCGTACACTGAAGAGAAAGAGATAAATTCTAAATCTACTACTGATTCTCCTGAGATAATATAAAATGATGATCAGAGGTTAAAGGAAGTTAAATCTGTAAGAGAAGAGAAAAAAAGTTCTAACATTTATCAGCAAGAAACAAGAGAAAAGAAGAAAAAAATAGATGAAGATCGAGTTCTAAAAATTGAATAAACTTCGACTACTATCATTTACCTCGTATGATAATGATTATGATGATAAACATGAGAGAGAGAATCATATACACAATCTCCCGCCCACTTATCTCTTTCTCTCTCTCTCTGTTTACCATTTTGAATCCATAATATTTACTGAGAGATGAAGAGAGTTATCACTCTCTCTCTCTCTCTTCTAACTGTAAAACCAATTTGTATCTAATTCCCATCAGGGTCAATAAATACTTCATTGATCATCTGAACAGAATCAGGAGCAGACACATGATAAGAAAAAAAGTTAACTCCCTTGAAAGAAATTGATATAAAAAATTCTTAGAAGTGAATAGAAAATGTTAATCATTTATATTCATCATTCAATCAGTTAATTGTCAGCGATATTATTATTATGTTACATTTGATAATTTCTATTGACAGATAACCTTTTGTTTATAATCCTGAGGCTTTGATTGTTGATTCATTTCTATTTTGATTAATCAAATCCATTTTCTATTGTTGTTATTTAACAGTTACACTTGATGAAATTCGTGTCTAAATTAATTGTATTTCTCATCTTTTCTCTCTTTCTCTCTCTCTTTCTCCTTTACAGATCTTCCAGAAGATAATTTATCAATTGGTATTAAATAATATTCTCGATCCGATTTGGTGAAATGTTGAGTCTTCATGCTGGTTTTGTGATTCTAGGAGATTGTTAGAGGACAAGAACATGGAAAAAATTGTAAACCATATCAACGTTTACCTGACATTTAACTACATCAACATCAACATCATCAACAACAACAACAATGAAACAAGAGCGTAACAAACAATAATATAAATTGATGTTGTTACTGTTTTCTTGTTATTATTATTGTTGTTATCTTGTTTCAACTGATGCAACTGTGATTACCAGTTAGTCTATAAGATGACGAGAGGAGGAGGATGATGATAAGGGATGAGGATGAAGATTCTGAGAAAGAAAAAAAACCAAAAGGTAAGATGAAATTTAAAGGTACAGAATGAAAACAAAGACATTGATATCAAAGATACTTTCACTATTTCCTGAGAGAATAACTAATATACCTTTTAATTTACTATTTAAACAGGTAAGACAAGATGACAATGAAGTTATTTCTTGTAGAACATTTCGAGACAGAGAAGTTCGAAAGAAAAAGAAAAAGAAAAAATGAAAAAAATAAAGAATCGAGGACAAACTGAATGTTATTCAATGTGAAGTCACTTGAAAATATGTTTACCTTGGATTAAATAGAGTCAATCACTTTTTCGTTGACCAACCAAAAGCCAATAGCAAATAAGAACAACAAATAACAAACAAGTTATTTTCTTATCAAAAAGAAAAGAAAATCGAAAAAAGGAAATTCGAAATTCGAAAGAGAGAGAGAGAGAGAGAGAGAGAGAAAGAGAGACGAAAGAGAACTCACTGGTTCTTTGATACTCTTGACACTCTCTTTTCATCTTCATCTCTCTCATCTCTTAAAGCCATTTAAATTAGATGGACCAGAATCATTGAGGAAAATGTTGATAATATGATTGAAAGAAAGAAAGAAAAATTCTATCTCACCTTCAATTGCATCTCTTTGTCAATAGTTTCAATGTGATTTTCTCTCTGTGTATAAGTTGTTGAAGAAAAGTGCACAAACCGTTGAATCTATTTTCAATTATCCACTTGACACACAGTGAGATCGAGAGAGAAAGAGAGAGAACAAGAAGATAAAAAGAAGATGAAAATAAAAGCAAAGTGAACAAACTTATTTCATCTTCTTTTTTTACTTGACCATCTTCATCTTCATCTGATGCTTATTTCCCATCATCTTCTTACCTTTACCACCTTATTCAATATCCTTTGAGAATCTCTGTCTTTCTCCTCTGTCTCTCTTCTGGTTACCTCTAATTTGGATTGAGGTCAATCCAAAATGATTCCAGAGGTTTGCCACAAACTCAATGACAGCATTTGCTGTCTCTCTCTCTCTCTCTCTCTCTCTCTCTCTCTCTCTCTCTCTCTCTCTCTCTCTCTCTCTCTCTCTCTCTCTCTCTCATTCGCATCCTCATCTTCCCATTTTCCTTATTTTCTGCTCCATCCAATCATCATCATCATTTTAACCTTCACTTATCTTGACTTCTTTTTCCTCTCTTTCTTTTTCTCTCCATCCAACCACCACCTCCACCACCTCCACCACCATCACTACCACCAACATCATCATCATCTTCATCTTATTTCTTTCCTCTTTCTTTGGGCTTCTTCATCATCTTACCTTCTCTGCTTATGCTCACTTTGATTCTCAATTCTTTCTTACAATTCCTTGGACATTTAAGTGGACCAAATATTAAAGGTAATGGTTCCTAACTTTTTTTATTGTTGTTATTGCTTCTCAACTACTATTGCTATTATTACCATTGGATATGCAGTTAGTGTGTCGTAAGTGTGTAGTCTATGTGTAGATCTAAACTCTCATACACGGTTGATGTTTTCATGCCCATTCAATTGCTGTTGTGTTTTTGCTGCTCTTTTCACTTACGATGGTGACATCAACAGTAACTTGAGACAAGTTACTTTACTTTGGCTTCATCTTCAATAAATGTCAACTTTTATTTCACTTTTTCCTCCACCTCACTCACTTTATCTCTCTCTCTCTCTCTCTCTCTCTCTCTCTCTCTCTCTCTCTCTCTCTCTCTCTTTCTCTTGGCGGTGTTGATGTTTCTATGAAAAAATAGAAATAATAGTTTCCTTGCTTAGGCTTTGCTTGGATTGCTTATATTTCCTCTTCCTTCTTGTCCTTTTCTCTCTCTTTCTCTCTCTCTCTCTCTGTTATTGTCCAGTCTCTTGAATGGTGTGTTGTTGTTGATATTTCCACCTCCCACCTTCCTCCTTCTCTATGGTTCACCTAATCTATTGAACCTTATTTTTATTTCTATTTTATCTTAAGGCTCTTTTTAAATGGTTCACTCTTTTGGCTTATCTTTGCTCGGGCAACCAAGTTTAACAATTGACATAGACTCACATATTACACTCGAGGGAGAGAGTGGGAGGTTAAAGGTAAAGGTTAAGAAATTGTCAGGATAGATTAGGAGGAGAATAAGGATGCGGAGGTGGAGGAGGTGATGGAGATGGAAAAGCAGGAAGTAGAAAAAGATGATGAGAGGAACATCTTTTATTTTGACATCTCTCTCTCTCTCTCTCTCTCTCTCTCTCTCTCTCTCTCTCTCTCTCTCTCTTCTCTCTCTCTCTCTGTTATTGTCCAGTCTCTTGAATGGTGTGTTGTTGTTGATATTTCCACCTCCCACCTTCCTCCTTCTCTATGGTTCACCTAATCTATTGAACCTTATTTTTATTTCTATTTTATCTTAAGGCTCTTTTTAAATGGTTCACTCTTTTGGCTTATCTTTGCTCGGGCAACCAAGTTTAACAATTGACATAGACTCACATATTACACTCGAGGGAGAGAGTGGGAGGTTAAAGGTAAAGGTTAAGAAATTGTCAGGATAGATTAGGAGGAGAATAAGGATGCGGAGGTGGAGGAGGTGATGGAGATGGAAAAGCAGGAAGTAGAAAAAGATGATGAGAGGAACATCTTTTATTTTGACATCTCTCTCTCTCTCTCTCTCTCTCTCTCTCTCTCTCTCTCTCTCTCACTCTCACTTGTTCTCCATTTTCTCATCTTTGTTTTTCATCCTCATCTTTTTTCAACACAATTTTTTGTTCGACTTGTGTAATTTTCCTCTTACATTGTATTCATTTGATTATTACCATGTTGTTGATCTGATCAACGCTTCAAGATTAACTGATATCAAATTTTTGTGACCTATGGTTGAGTATTAAATTGTTAACAATTTAATGTACAAAGAAATGAGAAAAATATTTAAACAATTTTTCAATGGATAACAATTTACGATAACAACAGAGATAAACAGTTAATACTTAAATCAACAAGATTAACAAATCTAATAATCTTTAATCAGGCATAACAAATAAGTGTTAATCCACTTGCAATTTAAATCAATTATTACGTGAAAATCAAATGAATGAATGATAACCAAAGTAAAGATGATCAACAATTAACATGATCGATTGAATAAAATTTATTGAATCAAAAGGATAAATTTGATCAATAACAACAAATGATTGAATAAATAAACAATAATAATGAAACAAACTGTAACAACAATCAACTAATTTGACAATAAATCATCAAACAATCAAAAGCAATTGAATAAGTATATTAAAAAGAAAGCAGAAAATTTTTCTTCCCCATATGATTAAAGGATGAGTTTATCATCTATATTATCACCATTATGATAATTATGATGATGACAATTATCATTATCATCGAAATCATCAAGAGTGTATGGAGGGCATATTAAAGGAGGAGGGAGTGGGATAAACAGCAGCAGTAACAGCGGGGTGGGTAATATGAAAGTGGGTGAAAATACAAAAGCCATTGACAAAAAAAAAGTCCATGTGAGTGTGATAATAAGATAACATATAAAGCCAATGTATTTATACATATTGTGTCAAGTATAATGTATCCAATGGTTGACCTTAAGTCCATAGTCACTTTAACACGGGTCAATGGGCTTTTTCATGTGAGAAAGGGCCGAGTGAGAGAGAGAGAGATGAAGATGGAGGGAGAAAGGAGAGCAGGGTGAGGATATATTATATATATAATTTAATTCAATCGGCTAAATAATGATAATCATTGATGATGATAATCCGATGTGGATAATAACTGAATCTAAACATACACACTTTTCACTTATGATATATATTGATCTTAATGGATGATGATGATGATAATAATATAGTCTATACAATGGGTGAATAGGATTAGTTAGAGGGAAAAGATGTAAAAAAAGTCTACACAAAAAGATGAGGATAAAAAGTTTTACTGATGAGGAGAAAGTTTTAGGTCACGGATCGAGATTTTTTTTTTCGGCTTCGAACTTTTTTCTCTCTCTTTCTCTTTCTTTGTATTTGAATTATTTGTGCTTCTTTTTGATTAGGATGATTAGATGATGATGATGATGATGGAAACATTTGACTGGTTAAGTTGTGTATAATTTAGTTAATCATAGTTGATTTAGTTTGATTTGATTACGATTGTAAATATTGGTGACACTTTCATTTTGTTTGTTCATTCAACTTATCATTTGATTTGCTTTTTAATACTATTGCCCTTTGATTGATTTACCTTTTTATTTTTATACTTGCAATGGACATTAGGGATGATAATGATGACGAGTGAGTAGAGATGAGGATGATAATGATGATAAATATTGAAGATTATAAATAAAAATGATTATAATACTTGGGAGTTTAGTTAATCCTTTATACAGAATCACTGGTTATCATTGATAACACAAAAGCTTTTCAATGTAGCAATTTAATTTGATTGTTATCATAAACGAGTAACCATTCATTTAGTTTTCCTCATTAATCATAAATGCTAATCACCAAGTGATCACAATTTAATTTCAATTGTTAATTGTTGAAACATTTTCTACTTTCTTTTTCATTGGAAACTTTTTTTCTTCACCTTTACCTTTACCTTTAACCTTCAAACTGGAAAACAAAACTTTTCTGTCTATGTTTGTGTTACTTTTACCCTCAGGGTGAATACCTATTAGTATGATAATTATCATTTAACAATTGATTAACAATTTAACTTTAAGGTATAATAATGATAACCAATATTACCTTTGATTTGCTAATTCACCTTTTTTTTGTTTTGTTTTCTAAATCAAGTTAATCACCAATGATTAGAGTCTATGATACATTATAATTAACTTTGCTCTTCCAAAGGTTAATAAGTAGCTTCTAATACCTAATTTAACCAGAAAGATGATGATGATAATCATCATGATCATCTTAGCACCATCAATGAAATATTATCATCATAATCATTATCATTACCGTGATTATAAAACATCATATTATTATTATTACAATTAGCTTAATGATAATCAGTAAATGAATGGAGGTTAAAAGCTTAAACCTTTAGACCAAAGGAGTGGTTTTAATATGATCAAAAATATCTGGTGATTAACTTAAATTGTTAACCTGTTTCCCGATTAATTGTTGTTCATTTAAAACTAATATTATCAGAGATTAGATTTGATGCTAATCTTAATCTTAAATCAAAGATTATCATCATAATGATGATCAATATGCGAGAAACAAAAAGGTAAACAAATGAAACATGAAGAAAAGTGATTCCATTGAATTTATCATCTCTTTCTCATCATTATCATCATCTTGTCATCACATTTATCTTCAATCTCTCTCTCTCTCTCTCATATCGACAACGTGCTTCTTGTAACAACTTAAGAATTTATACAAATAGAAGAGATTTTTTTTCTTCTTCTTCTATTCTAAACAACTTTTTGATCGATCCACTTCGATCGAACCACCTTCCACTTTTTCTTCTTCTTCCTCCTGCTCCTTCTCATCTTCTTCTTCATCTTCTTGTCATCATTTTCAATATTATTTACTAAGTGATGCGAGAAAAATGTTCTAACAGATTCTCGATACTCGATATTTTATCAATCGTTTTTTCCCTTCACATGGTAACTGTTGGTTGGTTGGTTGTTGTTGTTTATACATTAACACAACAACCACTCAAATTTTCATCATCATTCCCACTCTTCCACCGCCATCATCATCATTTTCATCCTTTTCCTCCTCCTTTAATCTTGTATGTAAGCTCTTGTGGGCATAGTTTATGGTGAAAGGTGGGAAAAGGATGATGAAGAAAGAGAGGAAAAAAAACTCATGAAGAAAAAAAAACTTTTTCGATTGCAAACTAATGCCCCATGTTGTTTATCATGAACAATTGAGGATATGCTTTGATGAACATTGGTTTTAGCATGAAAACTATTGTTATTTGTAAACAAAACCTCATGTATTAATACATATATAGTAAATTCAGTAAATCTAAATGATTCTGAGTTTCCACCAACCATGGAAAAGTAATAAAAGTAATAATAATAATAAGAGTAAAAAAAAAGTTCTGTCTCATTCTCATTGAATCTCATTTAGTAGAAACACTTGAACCAATCAAAGATTGAAAATATCTTCATGTAATATATATTAAAGGAGGAAATATTTTTACTCATCATCATTATCAAGATGATGAGGATGAAAGTTCATCATTTCAAGTTAAGGTTGATGGTGGGTTTATAATGTGAACAGGGAACCCAAATGTTAATCCTGGTTGATTTCATGGATTCACTGGAATGCCAGGAATCTAATATACACTCATACTCATCAAGTTTATCATGTTATCTATAAGGGTGGAAGTAAGTAAGTGATGATGATGATGATGACAAAATATGCTCACTAATATATAGAAGGAGAAAAAAATGTTCCAATAAAAATGTTCAATGGAAATCATATATATTTATGTTCATATTCTGGTCTCATGAGTTTTCTTTGGGTGGAAAATAATTCTGGATTCCAACTCTGAACAAACTTAACTGATCATCATCATCACAGGCAATTGAATGTTACTTTGAAAGAAGATGATGATGATGATGATGATGATAATAGTGATGATGAAAACATTGAAAGATATTATCTCTTAACTATCTCCAGAACTTTTAAGAAAATAAGAAAAAAAATCTCTTTCATGATAACAATCATTTCCATTTTTATTTTTCAGCGAAATTATCACAAACTCTGATTTATGATAAAAGATAATGATGATTAATATCATCATTATACTCATGATAAGTCACATTTTTGAATATCATGATAATCATCATGATGATAGATTCAAGTTGAAATCAAATATATTATTAAGATTGAAGAAACAAAAAAAATCTCATATCATTATTTTCATATTTTCATGGATACTCTTATATTGTATTATATTTGTTATATTATCGTGGAGAAGTAAAAAAAAATGCTAGCATTCAGTGAGTATACACTTAGATGATGATGATAATAATAATAAAGTGTAACTCACTCGGGAAACAAGTAATATTATCAGAGATAAAGTATTATCATCATTATTTGAATAAGAAGCTAAAAACAAGACAAAAACTAATACGATCATACCCTTTGCATACCCTCTTGCATATGTAAAAATATATTGAGTATTTACATTGGTAACAATGAATATCCTCTAACTAGACATGTGTAGGTATCAATATGAGTGAAGAGGATAGTGTATGTATGATGAATACCCTTCTTTTTGTTTGAAATGTTCAAG